ATTTAGTCCAGTGCACATACTTAATGACATTCATTGTGCAGACCATTTGGATCGTATAAATATCCCTGAAACATTTTCGTACTTAAAATATTGACCGTACAACTAACAACCTATTGTGCATCGGCAAAAGCTGGCAAGAATCAAAATATTTCTCTTATCTGTACAGTTTCATTATTGCCTTTGTAGTTGCCGATGACTTCTTCTCCAAACAATTGACGTGCTTCCGCTGCGTGTATCACTTAGGAGTTCAGAGATACACATCAAGATATTCCTTAACTAAATTGAACTGAATGCCAGTCGCCCTCTGGACCATATTCTTAAAGTCCCCTGATGACATTAGATTCACTTCGTCTACGTACCGGGATGTCTGTTGAGCTCCGAACAATTTACTGAAGTCCAGTTAATAGAATACTGGTATTTAAAAGAGATATTTCGGCCGCAGTTCAGGCGTAAAATCATGCATTTGAACACATTTAACATGTTCGACCAAGCACTCGGTTTGCATATATTCCGGTGCAGCTTTTTTGGCATTGTCAGCAAAGTTGACTCCAGCACATATTTTATATTATCAGAGAACGCAAGGGCCATACAAAGCAAAGCAGTGATACAGTCATATACATATGTGAGACTGAGTAGTGGGGCTAAGGAAGGGCCCTGTGGAGCATCACTTTCAGCCTTTAGTCATTATGGTGAAATAATGTTATCTTACTATTATCTAATGGCAGAGGTGCACTGAAACAACAGGCAGCTTATGTAACAAGGCAGCTTATGAACACAGGCACTTATGTAGAACTGAGATTCTTTTCAGGTGAAAACGCAATTCCCTTCCGTTCTGTTCGACAAAGGCGAGTTCAGCCTAGGCCTATTTTTATGAAATATATTGAAGTAAACTGAGACGAGAGGCAGGTGGACTACAGCAATATCTACCAAGTAATTTGATGATGGTTGACGTCACTCGAATCAACATTGATTGATTATAGAGAAGCTTAAAAACCTAGTGATTATCTCAAAAAATGTTTTTTTTTAAAGAATAGAACTCTGTTCGTACACCTCAGGTGTGTTTTATTAACTGAAATGCTACCGATATCGGGATCGCTCAGTGATGCTTGCTGAAGCCGTTGGTATTTTCGAATGAAGATATGTAAACTATTCGTCCAAAAACGCTTCCGAAATGAGACATTTATTAGTGGGGAGTAGGCGGCCTTCAATTCAACTAAAAACAATAGTTCAGGCGAAGAAGGCATAATTCTGTTTATGCCGGTATATTTGGGTAATACAACCGTTGTATTTCTGCTACCTCTCCACATACAATAAAGAAACAGAATAATTTTTGCAAATAAATTCCGAAGACTGTAAAGCGGGCCGGGCGCAAACTTACTTACGGTAGCTTCCCAGCAGGCAAGTATCAAGTCTGCGTTTAAAGGTTTCAACGAGGTATGAAAATATCCTCACAGCAGTGAGTTCGTTCTAGGCTTCAACGACCCTCTGCGAGAAGGCGTTTTGTCGGAATTTTGTATGGGTCAAGGTCTCCAGTAGTTTAATGGGATGACCACGCAGGCGGTTCGTTCAAACCAATTCAAAAAAGGCTTAGAAGGCTAGGCGTCTAGCACTCCCTCAGATCTGAATGACATCACCACGCAGTTTATTAAAATTTAGAGAAAAGATTCATGATCATCCAGGCTGACTTAGTATGAATAAGCGTCAAGATTTCCCACCATTTTCGTACACTCACCAGCAACCATTCCAGCTGTTGATAATTTTTCCTGAGCCAGTGGCTTCAGGCCTGCACAAGAAACTCTATTTGAGGTTGAACAACTGTCCCGTTGGTTTTGCCGAACACTCCTTGCCCAATCTGCTTTTCGTCACTGCTACGTCGGTTTAATCAAGGAGCTAAGTTGCTGACCCAAGTTCTTTTGTTCCTCAACGCTTTCAAGGGACTGCCCCTAATGTAGGTGCCTCTTCCCAGCTGTTTTTTTTGGTGCGAAGTTCTAAGAACACACACTTGTCATCGATAAAATTTAGGGGTCGATTACCAGACCTGCCGTTAAGCCGATTAAAACTTTTAAAAGGTGTGCTTAACCGTGGTCAGGCCTGTATGTTCTCAAGAGTGTGATATCGACAATAAATACGACCGCGTTACAACGCAAGGTTTTCGACACAGTCGTTGATGTACACTAGGAAGATTAACGGTCCAAGAAGTGAGGCCCCGGGGAACATCACTCAAAACGGGGTTAGGGACTAACTTCGAGACACCAACGGCATACGATTTGTCATCTCCTAGTGGGAAACTCTGCGGTCCATGTGAGCAGCTTGAATATTATTCCAATTTCAGATGGTTTATTAACTAATGTTTATTCGAAACCTTACGTTTAACTTACCTTAAATGTGCCGTTGTGGGGGTTAAATATAACAATAATTTTACTACTTTCTAGACGTTTGTGGGGAACGTAGTTGAACGGCTTGCTGATTTCAGTGCGGACAACGTTAACCCTACCATTGTCGTCCAGGCACAAGTCCACTGATCAGTCATGAAAAGGAAAACAGGAAGGGTAATGACAATCTTGTCTGAAGCGAAGTTGGAGCCCTAGGCCTAAATGATTTTCCGCCAGGACCTTCCAAGTCGATTTCCTAAGTAATACCTTACAACAGACACAGGTTAGTTGGGTGGGACGATAACTAGTGATATCGGGTCAAGCATCGCCCTTATATACTGATTGAAAACTTGTATTACGGACTAGATAAATGAGTGAAGTCCTTAATTTCCTGTAAGCAATTGGACAAAATTTCGTAAATATCTACCATCGGCGTCACGGTATGAAATCAGTCCAGACATAGCCTTCGTCAGAGATTCATAAGATTTTACCGCTCAAAATTATTTTAAACAGAGGTCAGGCATTTCGAAGATGCATTTTCCATCAACAGCATACACATAACTTCGTCGACCGAATTTTCCGCCTTCTGGGTAGCATTTCTGGGACCCGGATTGTTATTACCCAATATTTTAGTTTTTGGGTAATGTTAAATGTCATCTGAAAACCCATCAGGCGCAACTGGACGGGTAGTGTCCAGTCTTTCTACGGCAACACAAAGATAGCTGCCAAAAGAACCGTAATAACTCTAGCAGTAATTCACGGAATTGACGAGCTGTAGGCAAGTTCGCTCTTTTGGGATTGCTTACACTAAATCCACGTGAGTATACATACAAAATATTCACAGCCTATGAAGGTGTCACTAAGCTGGCGCCAAATCGATTGATAGTATGTGCTAGGCAAGCAGCTGGATAATGCAAACCGAGTCACAGCTTGCAACAGTGACTTGAAAAGGTTTGGAAAAGCTGGAATGGATCAAATAAAAAAAAACAGTCTGTTCAGAAAGGGAACACAGCGCCTGTCTGAACATGTATGTTCGTCCCAAATGCTAAAAAACTGCAGAAAATAAAAAGGCTCCTTGAGACCTACATATATACGCACGGTAGTTTTTTTCTACCACTTTGTTGTTCGTCGACTAAGCGTTGGTCTCATAAATTGTTCCGGTATGCGTTCCGACTGCAGAACACTCATATTAAGCACTATGCGCGCTGCTTCGAGTTCCGAACTTTCGTATTCCTTTTCGTCTTCTCACGACCTTCCATATATCTGACCTAACTTTGTGAGTCTCATGTTAATTCCTCCCAAAATTGTAAGCATAAAAATAGTTGCGGTTTGTCCCATCTTCCGTCTCGATCCCAACACCACCTTCGAGATTTATGTGAAGTGTTTTGTCACGTGGTGTAGGAATACTAACGTCGTGCCTATCAGTGCTAGGAAAACCGGTCTAATTCGGAATCGTACATTCGGAATCTCCCAGAGAGGTCATTTACGAGTATTATGCGAATAATTTACAGATACACGCCCAATTACTGTTGCCTGCACTTTCTGTCAATCATATCGTGCGGGTCTCGTTTAATAACTATTGTCCACTGGTTTGTCCGTTGTGTACTGTGGTATTCACTGTGCACAGACAATGCACCAAGTTAGCTTACAAGTTATAATCAGCCAAAGCCGCCACTCCAGTAGGTCTCCAAGAACAACAACAATGAAGAACGAAAACACCACGAGCAATTTTTTTAAATTAAATTGATGCGAATTAAGTTGAACGAGTTTTTGCCTTCGTTTGGTATTCAGGACTGTATCGTCCCTTGACCTGAACAGGGTTGTTCGAGTGCTCTGACACTTTTGGCTCCGATCAGGATGGAGATGGTGTTACTGCGTGATGGTGAGGATGGCTGGTTCCGCTTATTCTCGTTACCGTCGAAAACTCAACGTAGCGTCGTTCTCGTCTCTCTCCCCCTTTACTTGCTATCCCAATCCTTCCTCCTTCCCCCTCTTCCCCTTCATCCTTCCCTGCAGTTGCCCACAGCGATGCATCCCCACTGGCTGTTAAGTTAGTATGTCTGGGTCACCAATCCATCCAAACAAGTCATCCATTTACGGTTTGTCATTCTACGTTTAGACTAACATTTATTCTACACATTTCCCGCACCTTAAAACATGTACCTTCTTCTCCCGTGTGTGAATAAGTATCATGAGAAACTGGCAGTTATTCTCAGATTTTCCACCGTCATTATCCCTTCTTAACGTTTCTTTACGTTGGTGTGTGTTACCCTTGACGTCCTTGGCCGCTAAAGTACTGAATGCTGAATTCTGAACCGAACAGAAACTTTTTCTAGTTAATCGGAAAATTTTTAAACAAAATTAAATAAAAACGAAACAAGTAAACGGATAAATAGGTAAGCAATCGTAAAAAGACTGTGTAAAACAAGAGAAATAAGATGGTTGTTATATCTTTGCCTGTCCTCTAGTTGGCCTTGCTTGTTTTAACGCTCCTTATATAGGGCGTTCTGTTCTAGTGGGCAGCTTACTGTCCGCTTTACATATTACACTCGACCTCCACAAGGCTAGGGCTTTCCACTGCACATAATTGCGCGCATTGTCCTATCCAAAAACTTAGTGATTTCCAAAATGGAGCCAATCTCATTCAACCCTAAGGCGTCACAACAGATGTTAGAAAAGAATCTGACAAAGTTGCGCTGTGATGTTTGATCTGTACTTTCGTTTCTCATTATTCAGGTCCATAGAGCAACTTTTATGTACCTGTTTTCTGAAATGGTCAAGTATGCCATGCAGAACTCAAAAAGTATCGATGAAGTACAGCAGAAGTATGTCAATTTATTCTTCATTGTTTTATTCACACACTCACACATGAATGTAAACATTCTTTGTCAGTAATTCCATTCTGCCTGTAATATTAGCCGCTAATTGGGAAGATGGAAGTTTTTGGACAAAATTAAACTTTATTGTGCAGTTTCTTGAGATTGGTTTCCTAGTCCGTCTTCAAACTATGGGTGTGCAAAAACTGTTAACTTTTTAACTGAGCCTCACAAAGGATTCTTTAATTGACTCAAGTCTGTGCCAATGCGTGTTATTTGTAATTTGTCATCTCCTCGAGACTAGTTTGACCACTATGAATTTGTCTTTAACGATTTTGTATGTGGCATCTAGGTCGATATGTCGGTTGGTACATGCCTCATCTGTATGTCTTGCCTCCAGGCATTCGCGGCCTTTCCTTGTTGGGCAGGCGCCAACAATGCGAGTGTTCTCCCATGCAAATTTGTGTCCAGTGTCCAGTGTGTGTATGACCATCTGGGATAGATGATCGCGTCTCTTCAGCGTTAACTGATGTTTATGTATACGGGTTGAGACAGATTTTCCACTTTGGCCACAATAGAGGGCATCGCAACTGGAACATGGGATTTTGTAGACAGCACCTCTTCCTCCGGGGTAGCCAACCCTGTCCTTAGGGTGTACAAGCTGTGTGCGTAAGGTAGTTGCGGGCTCGTGTGCTACGTGTATGTTTTTTTGCTGCCACCGTTTGTTAGAGGCAAGGTGGTTAATCTCAAAATGTAGGATGACCGCCGAATACGCCTATGTAATAAACTGATGTGCGAAGTAATCCACTGATTTTTCGACTTACAAGGGCATCTAGAAATGGGAATTGTCCATCAAACTCTGTTTCCGAAGGATGAGGAGGAAGAGAAAGAGGAGGGGGACCACCCGGAATGCCTTCTTCTTATGCGACAGTTGGTCGCAATAAGCAACAGTGTTTCACGGAAATACCAAACAGTGGGCAAAAGGTCGAGTATCGTAAGACCATCAATTACTTTAGCTATATCCAAAGGATCAGGTGCTGCTAAGTTCTGTGGCTTTAAGATGCCCGTATGGGCCGTGCTCTCATCCGACCATTGTTTCTCCCAGAAGAACCAACCTTTCTTGTAACGTCGGTAGTACAGTCTCATCACAAATCTGACTGAGGACGAGACTGTTGGTAATAGTTCTTCGTAATCACGTCGCGGCACCACCTCAGTCTTTATGACATCTTATATGGAAGTCAATGGTTGTCTAACGACGTATCCTATGGTTGCTTTCCGTCTCCTTTTGCGCACGACAGACTGTGTCCTGTGCATACAGATATTAACTACCTTCGGGGACTGTTATTTGAAAATTACATAAATGCATTTGTCGGCCCGAACCAAGTAGTCTGTCAACGCACGTTCTGTGTTGGCCGGTACACCTGTTTCTTGGGTGCTACCGGTAGGCTTGTATAAACTCAACTTCTAAATTTGTTTACATTGTCGGGGCATACTAACATAGTGCGAGCAACAGCTCGAACCATCGTGTTCCATGCTGGACTTCGGCTGAAATCGATGCTCGTGATCAGTACCAATAAATAGCATAGTACCCAGTAATTCTCCAAAGATAGATCTTGCATTTTTTTTAGTTCAGGCGCGAGTCTGCAATTTATTGGGTCTAGTTTGTATAGTTATTTATATAGCGGTTTTTTGTAAAGTATTCAAGTGCTTACGCGACTTTCTGCTAATTTTGTACCTTTTGTACCTTAGGAAATATTCCCGGTTTGATTCCTGCCTGTCATGCGATCTTGACACTAGATTAATTTAGGGATTTTGGTCCGCGTATTTGTAACCTAACTGCTTTTTGTGTAGACTTGCCGAGCTGGGCCGCCCGATCGGTAGACGTATGATGGATCTAGTTTACCTCCGAGAGAGACCCCAAAAACGAGATGTTCGTCTGTTCCAAATACTCCTCTTTCTGAAAAGCACCTTCTGGCGAAGCCTTTTTGGTAAAGAGGCAAACGAGTTGGAACGCGATGGTCTCGTTGAGAACACTTGTAAGTGGCGTACCCTTATTTTTACCTTTTATTTCCCTAGCACATGACTTGCTACAAGACTGCCAAAAATACGCCGAGTCAATTATCTGACAGTGGAGTGCATGGATCCGTTCGCAATTTCACATTTAAAACCGCATTCGGACGTCTGTCGGCAACATCCAGCGATTTGTGAACGCGACCTGCACTACAAAGCCTGTAAATTAAGTGCGGTCCATCAGCTCTGATCTGGCCTGCGGAATAACAGTTACTGAGAACCATTTCTGACAGGAAAAAGAAGAGTGGATCGGCCATATCTCACTTGCGTACATCACTAGTCATCAATCGCGAATTAGTCAAACCCGAGATTCGAACTTATGGTCAGTCAGTTACCTAGTCAGACTGCCAGTCGAGTCATGCGCCCAAGTCTTGCCGACTGTGCACGGAAATATTCAATTCCGCACCAAAATAGCATTGGTCGATCTATTCTGGTTGCAGGGCGGAACACGGGTGTTGCATTTCGCACTTAAGGTCCCATCTTGTGCCCTCATAAACGGTCTCACAGGCGAGCAATGAGCACTTAAGTAACGTGTATGCGTCGTCTGATTCCGTCGGCACAGCTTCCGTCTCTGTCGTGTTTGTACACAACGGGGCCAGGTCTCGAGCCAGAAGTCTTCAGACCCTACATGACCTTCCATTGGGTTTGCATTTTTTTCAAGTGGTGGCGAACTGTCAGTTCGGTCTTAGTCACTTTGTCAAAAAAGGCTTTGACAACCCCACCACGCGCATTTATGTCACCTTTTGTTGTCACCTCGGCTGCGCTGAAGTTACTATCGTTCTGGAGTTGAGCCTGTGTTACCATCTGCCCCCTATGAAGCATCTTGCTTGACACAAGCCAGCAGCCGATCTCACTACGGATGGTCTTGTTCGCAAGGCATGGATATGCACACAATCCTCAGTCTTTGACTCGGCGTGTATAAACACCGCGCCCTGACCTCCCTTGATTTTTTGGACCTTGTGTGATCATTGCGTCTTTTTCCTATAGTTTACATGATCGAGCGAAAGCCTCTCGTAAACAAGTTTACTCGTTACACGTACGAGGGTACAGAACTCGAACGAAAAAATGGTAAGTTATCGGATTTAGTTTGATTTCAATTTTTAGTCCCTCTGAATCTTGCAGCATTCAATTGCGGAATTATCGAGGCGGCTTTAACGGATGCAGGCTTCGTAAGTCTATCTCTTGAATATAGTTTGCGTAGTTACGTTGCAGCTGATCAACTACATTAGAGAACCCAGATTTTGTCGTACCATACTTCTAGGAGACATCGCTTACCGACTTTACTGATTAGGCGGCTTCGGCCTACACGGAGGCTTAAAGCTTGAACAAGACCATCGCGGAGTATATATGCCACCGTCACTTAGAAACCTCACTTGGCATCGCATCGCCACACTCGGTGGTTTCGCGCAACTTAGCCCTGCCATTTGCCTCGCCTGCTCTTGGGCAATAGGATGATGGATAATGCTTGACTCTGTTGTCGTAGGTTCACTTACACTCGTCACCAGCGCCAGTCGCAATCGAATTTCTCCAATAGATGTCGGCTTGTGACCACGAGGTAATTTTTTGGCGAAAGGAGTAACGTGAGTACGCCACAACGACTAAATGATTTACTTGACGAAATGTCAAAGCAGTCTGTATCACTGCGTATTTAGAAGTAGTAAAGGGGGTATGCGATAGCATTCGTTAGCCATGTCCCAACTCCATGTCGAAGAAATCCGCGACCTAAGTTTCATTTCAATCAGTGGATGAGTCAAACGTTTTACTAGTGAGGCCTTGAGCTAACGCCGTCAGCTCTTGGCTGAAGCAACATAAAGCGTCTGTATCCCGTCCGCAGTTAGGACAGATTAGTTCTACTCCGACCTGATCGTGCATCAGTAATGGTTAGGATCGACATTGATGCAGGCAGTTCCAGAGTTCGCGGCATCACAACCTGGTGTGGCCTATGCCCTACGTTGGGGCATCGATTATCATTATGCAGTGAGCGTACTGTTTCTAACAGAAACGGCCGTCGGGCTCGACGTTCTGGTCATGTTGAACTGTGCCCCATCCATCCGCTTTAGTTGACAACCACGGCAGCGGTGCAAGCTCCGACAAGGGTTTGCAGAGGCGTGTTCGCGTACATGCTCCTCCTTACACCGGCAGATGCGCGACTGAACCACCGGAGACAGTAAGTTTATTGCAGCGCTAGCGGGCGCCGCAGATCGACGGCGCCACGCGACGATAGAACTTGTTGATAGGCCGAAACGAATATTTTCCTCCAGCGGCAACAGGGTAGGGCGGTTTTTGCCAAGGCCTCCTTCACCGACATCCCTGTCTTTTGCTGAAGATCGGCGAGGCAAGAAGCACATCCAGATCTGGTATAGCGTATTTCGCTCAAATTGCATGCGACGGTCCCCCCACCCCCCTACACTGGACGAGTGGGGGCAGTAGCGTGAAGTCCGAATTACCCAGAAGGGGAAGACAGTTTGCTTCGAGAGGCCGTGGGGCAGCAATTCGTGCACGAAGTGCAATTGTTGTTCAGTCAAGTACAGTCCGCCTCCAGCGAGTTTTTAATCATCCCAATATAGTTGAAAATTAAAATCTGAAACGTTAACCTGTCCTCCTGGACGCTGCCAACATTAATAGCGAAGTCATTGCTCTCCTCACCACACTCTTACGTTTGTGAATGTGTTAAAAATACGTCTTAATTTTTGAGGCGACACTACCAGCCTCTTTGGCTCCAGGCGTTTCCTGCCGTGGCAGCGGGTCTTTCGGCCTCATGACTTGGCCCCTGATAGTTGCTTCCGGCCTGCGTGCAACCACAACTCCAAGTGCAGAAGGCGGCTGACCGCATCTGAGACGTTCCTCATGTACGGAAGCGGTCGACAAGATTTAGCGCCGGTTGGATTTGCTTTCTGGTTTCGTCTGCGTACGCACCGATTGACAAAGTTACGCGGGTAGCCATTGGCTCTCTGCAGTCGTCGAGAATATCGCAATTCAACAACTTCGTCTTCTGTTTCACTACAGTGCGTCTCAACGCACCGGTACAGCGCCCTTACGCTAGTGCGTTTGTGACTGATCGGGTGGTTACCGTTGAAATTCAGTACCTGCGTCGTGTTTGTCGCTTTTCTGAACAGTTTGGTTTTTAGGCCAGTGCGCGTGTGCAACCCCGACTTCAGTGGAGCGAGGTGGCTGACAGCGTCCGAGACGTTTCTCACGTACGGAAGCCCTCGCGAGAAAGTAGGGCCAATTGAGTTAGGTAATTGCCACAATGAACGACGCCCTAACGAATGAGCAGTGATGCCTGTCTCTATGACACGGTCTCTTCAACAAACTGGTGGGGGTGCTAAAGCACGGCCATTCGCCCGGCTGAACGACTTGCGTCTCTCAATAGAGTACGACGCCTAACTTCGCAGAAAGCTGCCCAGGGGACCGTGCAGTGGTTCTCAGCCATTAGTCCGGCTCTGTCCATAAAGTCGGACAAGGTAGTATTGATGGCCATTCCGTCCAAAGTGTGCGACAAAGGCAAATTTTAGTAGCAAACACCATATCGTAGGCATATTTTACCGCCTCATTTAAACTTTGAATTGCGTTATCTTGGACCATTTTCTTTCAGCCATGCCAAGTTTCCGTAACGTGGCACAAGGGATCAACGTACGTAATCAAGTTTGACAACTGTGTGATACAACGTGAACGTCAGATGGAAAGTCGTTAGGCCCCTCTCCTCCTCCTCCTCCGCCCCCTGCCCCCGGTACATACCACTCAACCATCCTTTTAAAGCAAAAGACTGGCTTTTTGTTACTATGCGATTATACAAAAATTATGGACAAATGGTTATAGAGCAAGAATGATGGAAAAGGATAGGCTGCGAATTACGCGACGGCCTGATGCCCTCCGCTCACCAGTTTGGTTGTGTGTTTGCCAGGCGTCTCATTCGGCTACAAAAAAAGATAGCGCTGTGAAAATCCCACAAGAACGAGCTGGCCTGAGGTTGACTGACAGGGGCCAGTGAGCAAAATATTTTCGTATGGGTGCGTAAGTCTTTGATAATGGTGTAACATAAAAATGGGAAAAACGAAAAAAACAAGACAAAAATGGTGGACTCCATGCTCTGCTGGAAGTTTATATCGTTATTTGTTACAAACGACTGGACCACTTCGAGCCATTGACAGGCCCTATATGGTATTCTCACCAAACTATTTTTACCAAGTGCCGAAGTAGTTTCTATAAGCAGCCTAGAGTGCGCACAATAACGCTGACTTGACGTTATGTGGTGGTTTAGCACTTTTACTTAGCAGCACGGTTAGTCCTTAAGTCGCTTCGCCATTTAAAGTATGATAAATTCCATAGTTGTTAATCTTCCGTACAAGACGGAATTTTCTTACCGTGTACGAAAACCGGTGTCAAGTATGTGACCCTCATTTTGCGCTTCACAAATACGGACTCATTACGCATCGGCCAATACAGTCCTTAATATATACTCGAACGTTCAAACAGCCTCCAAAAAGAACGTCTGACACCGTCAAGCAGGCAAACTTTAAGACTGCCTGAAACCTGGATTGATGTCTGCAATATGGTGCACACATTTTCACAGCATTGCTAGATATTGGTCGCCGGTCATCCTAGCCGTCTTGCATAAATAAGGTCAGATTACCCTTTCAGATGCTGAAGTGCGATAGATCTTGTGGGCTACAGTTCATTTTGATGGGCGAGCCTCCTATTATCCATGCTCTGGTATTCTGCTTGTTTACAGGGTCATTAAATCGGAAATTAGCCTCATCTTCCATTGCATAGTTCGGTCGTTGCTGATAATCATGTACCAACTACGCCTTATGTGGATGTGCAAATGTGCTTTATGCGCTGCAACGAGGTTCGTGAGATTTGGCGTTCGTAAGGACGTCTCAATGTGGAAGTTCCAGGCTTTTTCTGAAGACTCAGCTGCACACATTTGCCTTCACCTGCGTACGAACTAGTTGTGTTTTCTCGGCTGGTGACAAATTGTAGACAGACCCTTGTTTCAGTAAATATTTGGACATATGTGTGTGACACGGGAATAACGCGTTTATGCTGTCTGCATTAGAAAAATAAAGCGACAATTTTTAAGGTGGAATTCGACTGTTTTCACACTTGCAGGGAAAGTATTTTCCGTCTTGAAAGAACGATGGTAGAAAACTTATTGGTGTTTGAAGCAGTCAAGCAACTTATTGGCCATCCTTTACTTGATACGGCCGTAACTTAGTTAACTAACCATAATGGTGCAGCGGATAATACATCTCAATTCGCTACGATCATATGCGGCAGATCTGAGTGTTCAAGCCGCCATCATTTCTAACGAATACCGGAGGCCGAAGAAACACCTGCATGTCTTTACAGACCGTGTTGAGCCAGTCTTTGGGCCGGTCGCATACACCGCTTAGGGAGCTACGTCGAATCTAGGGTAGCAGCACTGACCTGTAACGAAGATCGTGGCCAAATCACCTCAGCCGACTTACTGGATGGCCCGAGGGAATCCTGGTATCTTGTTGCAGTGAGCTCGAACTACCATTTTAGGCTAAGCCAACGCATATCACCCTAAAGGTCGTTTTCAGCTAAGGATGATCAAAGACTGAACTTTTGCTCGCGCTTCGCTCGTACAGCCAAGCATTTCGACCGTACGGGGGGACATATCGGACGGGTGGATTTCGAGACGTGGCGGCACGTCTATAGGCGTTTCTGGAGGCGGTCTCTTCCCTGCCTTGTCAGTCTAGCTGCAACTTGGATCCGATTTACGTAAGGCTGTATTTATTCAAGCTGACAGTCGCTAATCCGGAGGTGCCTCCTGGTCAGAAGTGGAGCACTGGTGTGGGGACTGGTCTGTTTAGCGACTACTACGTTATGCAAGTCATCATGGCTTGGTACTAGTAAGACCTAGTCAGCGGCATAGCTAAACAGGGCGGACAATAAGATGTAACTTTCTCGAACGACAAAGTTAAAATTAATTGGTTGGGAGTGGCTTGGAGCTGAGAAATTGCACGTGCAGTCAGGAACTCGGTCTGGTTGGGTCCCGCTTCTTGACCAGTTTTAAGTCGCCTTAGAAAGACGACGGCAATGAGGTTTAGGACACATTCGGCAGTACTCATGACTCGGTAGTTCTCTCACTGCCTTATCTCCTCTGAAAACAAACTGGCATGACCAAAGCCTAATTACCGGGGACGATCGCATCGCAAAAATTGTCTAGTTAGAGTTCACCGGCGTCGACAAGATATACTGGCTCCCGTGAGGATGTTGTATCTAACAGTCTCAATGAGGTTTTATTTGAGAAGGGGGTCACGCTGCTGCAGAGGCCGAAGAAGGGCGAGATGTTGCACCTAGAAAAGCAGTGGTAGGTTTGTCGTCGAGGGCGCAACGGCGCTCGAAAAGCTTCTGCCAGCATTCAACCCGCGCCTAATTGTTAATAGTCCTCATTCTCATGAAGAGGTGAGTCAATCGGCGCAAAAGACGTGCCAATAACATGGTGAATAAGCCTTACTTTTGGGATGATGCAGAGTATTGAGGCCTACTCTTTCCGTCTTCCCAAGTGAGGTTTCGTGGGCTGTGTGAGAACTGTTGGTTGGCTGCGCCAGTCGTCACTGGAGTCTACATGTGAATAATATCCGGGCTGCTTCACGCGTTGAGTTTGAATGATGGCCATTAACGGACATCTTTGATCGGAGCTGCAGTACGAAGCCAAATCACTTGACAACCTCAGCTGCTGGCTTTTAAATCGGAGGCATGAGGTTTGGGGACAAATGTTTCACGTTAAACGCAGAATTGCTGTCGCTCACAGAGTCATTCCCCCGCATTAACATAGGGCGAAGATCCAGCTGTATAGCAAAGTGGATCTAGTTCCGCTAGCTTTTCGAATTCTTCCACTTACGGATTACGAGTGATAGTGAATGCCTCAGTGTTGACCACTGGACTCGTCTGTGGACGTCAGTCACTGGTCATCTGGCCGGTGTATACGTGATTACACTCGCCTGAACCGGCAATTTTACCAGGGAAGCGGGGATATTTCGAAAATGGTCAGTTTCAGAATTTCGGCTAGTGCTGCGATAAACATGCTTCGTCGAATGCGCTGACAGCTAAAGGGAGATTCAAGAGATTGTTCTATACGAATACAATGACTTCAATCGCTGAAATTTAGATGGATAGTGATTCCTGAAGCCTCTTAGATGTATCCGGCGGGGTTTGTGGGTTAGGTATCAGTACCGACCGGGCGTACGTATTATCCTTCAACGATAGACACGTCCGCCGCGCAAACGGTCAGAGCTCCTCGCAAACTTCAGCCCCTCAAGTCTAAACTATGGACAGAACTTCACAGTAAGTTTGCCATGACGAAACTTACCGTGTGTTTCTGTCTTGGTCGCGAATCTTCTTTTCCATTTCAGCATCAGTTAGCACCTCCACCACGGGGCTCCATTGATCTGCCTCGTTAGGGCTTCGGAACACTACGTCCACCGTCGGTAGCGGAGATTCCCTGCAGAGATGGCATGTAAAAAATTATAAAATAAGGATTCGAGTACATTTGTCGACTAGTCTTGCAATAATCAATGCAACTGCGAGCTGGGCTTCGTACATGGGTTTATATTTTCGTTGGAAAAACGGTTCGGCTGGCTAGACTGTGCTACCGAGGTTTGTGCCGTCAACATCTGTGTCCAGAATAGCCCCTTAATACTAGCTGAAACAGCGCGCACAGACCACAAGACGGCAAGGATCAGGTCGACACACGCTCTAAACAGCTAAGGTGAGAACGCGTGGCAGTTGAGGGCTGTACGAGAAGTCATGGTCACTTAGCCGGGTTAGATTAATTCAAGCGATGACAACGAAGGGAGTCGGCGAGCTTCGCAGAGGTGGTGTCAGTAGAGAGGTTGGCTGGACAGCCAACGTCCAGTGAATCACGGCGTAATAGGATTTTTGGACTGAAGGGCCATCAGTCTAGTGCTCTAACGGAACTTCATCAGGACCGATGGTGTCGGGAGGAGCAGTTAAAAACGCAGAATTTGCTGTCTACGTGTTGTTTGAGTCTGAAGGGTAATGCAGCACCGGACATGGTATGATTGTTCGCAGATTTAATTTTTGACTGACCCGGCGGGTCAGTGACTGCAGTGACCTAAAGGAAAAAGGTAAGGCAACTTTGAGTGGGAAAACTACTGGACGATTAGTCAGCGTTCCCAGGGACGAACTGACGCAAAAAGAGCGAAACGGCTACGGTGGCAAGGGCCGCATCGACAGATTACAACCTACTTCTCGTTGTTGATGAACCATCAGAGCCAGTTGAGGGAGCTATTATCAGGGATGTCCTAGCGGCTGATGGCGTGCCTCATAAGATCGGGTGTTTGGACATGGGGTGGGAGAAGGCCTTCTTTTCCCCCAATTCTTTAAAAATAGCATAGCTGCGGTTTCAGCCAAGTACTCCAGGCCACATGTACTTGCCGGCGGGACAGGGTCCTTTCGCCTCGGACATTGACTATGCCTTAAACGTAGGAAGTGTCATCTGCCCTTCAGATAGCCGTCGGATTGAGAACGTCTGGTCTGGCAACAATCCCGCGTCCTTCAGGCGGGAGAAAACACGTCGAGTCAGAAATGTAACTCACGTGAAAGCATATAGACGCTGGTGCCAGGCTAGCTGTCCTCGGATGCTGTAGGCGACGGCGGTCACAAATTCGCCACCCAACCCAAGTTCAGCACAGAGGCGCGCGGCAAACAGCTCTGGTGAGTTTGCAGGCTCCGAAAGATCCCACTCAAACTGGTCCACAAGCGACAGATTGCCCACGTGAATGTTCAGTCGGATTATGACCCGGGTATCAGTCTGTCCGACAAGAATATTTTCCACCGAATGGGCTTCGACCTGTAAGAAAGAAACGGGCGGAACACTCATATATTCCGGTAAATTACACAGAGTAGAAGGCTCTGTTTCGTGGGAGGAGGAGGGATGGGGACATCAAAAACATGAAAGCTGCCACATGAGTAGGGTACTTGGAGGAAATAGCCCTAAAGGTTCTCTCGTCGCCGACGATTACAACTAAAAAGTGTCCCGGTGGGCAGTGATAACTTACGTCCCGATTGGATTACACTGAGGGGAATTTTACTACCCACCAATCGTGTCCCGGCAATAAGATGGCGCTTAGAAAACAAAGGGTATGAGGAATTGGGATTGGCAGTTGAGTAGCAGAGATGCCCTGTCCAGGTAATGCTTCCTCAGCCTACGTTGGATCTTATTCCAATGACTCCTGATGACTACTTATTCCCGTCACTATGCAACCGCTCTTGAAAGTGAAATAATGGTAAAGGGGTAGACTAGAAAACATCGATGGGCGTCACGTAACAACAGCAGTCGAGCGCTACTTATCCGAACTGCGTGAACTGCGACTATGACGTGTAGCATGAAAATGCGGTACAGCCGCAGTCTGACACGACATTATGAATAACAGGGATTCAAGTTAGTGGTACAGTCAGTTCAACTACCGGGTTTAGTGGACTCTTAGATGGAAACTACATGTACATGCAGAATCTACCGCCAGCGGCGGAGAGACTATGGGTTTGTGCAATGTATTCCCAGTCAGCCGAATCTGCTAGTGATCCGAGGCTGGTTATCAAGATTCAGTCTGTCTTTCCACGTGATGCACTGGAAGAAGGTGATTGTTGCGGATTTTATCGAAGGCCCTAAGCTTGAAAAAACAATTTTTTAAGTCATGAAGCCTAGGAAGGCTATAAAGAAAACATCACAAAATTGCCGGGTTTAATCGGGCGTTGCCTCAACCTGGGACCAGTAAACGCCGCATTCAAAACTACCCGCCCGCTTTGACACCAACTGCTGCAAAAAGTGGAACCACCAATTCAAGTTCAGCAACCTTGACCTCTGCAACCGAGGATTGCTAAGTTTGCAACAAGTCATGTCTGTCAGAAAAATAGGAAATTGCAGTCAGTCTCACCTGTTGTCGGATGGCCTGTGCGATAGCAGGAACGAAGGAGATAGGATTTAAGTCTAAGTCGTCGCAGAGTATTTCGGCAAACTGCTCTGGCGTTATCATTTGCTCGTATCGATTCCAAGTGAAGCAGTCCCGCAGTTTCACGCCATCAAACTCAATGTCCAGACGAATAGGCACGAGGTGCTCAGGTTGTATTGCATTCTCGTGATAAGCCACGGGGTCTGAGTCATCGAGGCAGATTGGAAAGTTGGATACTTTGCTGCTTTGTTTGTCTAAAGTAGCCAAAGACACGGACAGTCAGATAATGACGCATGGTGACCGAAGACAATAGGAAGTGTGGAACTAACGGGGACGAGATCTGCCGATTGGGGTAGGGCATGGGACCGAGTCCAGGTGAAATGAAGTGTTGGGAACCGAGCTCACCCAACGGCCGGACTCGCGTTTGGAATTTTTTAACGGCGTGGAACCACTACCCAAAGAAACATCGGAGATTAGACTGTTCCCGGAAAATGTCATGGCGGCGCCGGAAGCCGGTCCTCCTGCAGACGAGCCCATACCCGAAAGGTTTCCCGACCCAGCACGAGTAATTGAACCATTGTTACCCGTAGATTGAGAGATATGTCCCATCATGGCTGTCCCGGGACCCTAAGAAAGTTTGTATGAAATAATTCAAAGTCGGACTAAAATATGTCAAACAGAAGAATCACTTGCAAGACCTACCTCAAATGACTTAAAACGTTCTTCACTGCCGGCGATGAGTTCGTCAACCTCGTAGGCTCGCAAAAGAGTGGCATTTATTGCAGTAATTGGCGTGGCCAGTCCTACAAAGCAGACATTTATCGTGCAAATTTAGTAATGCATGGTGCTAGGCGTCTGGACGAAATTACAATGCCTGCTTTGAAGCATGCAGTTACGCCAAAAGCACAAGGAAAACTGGAGACCAAATCACTAGCTAGACCCTTCACAATCGCATCATGCACCCCTATGAAGTTACGTGCTGGGGCTTCTAATTAGTTCCTGCATTGGGAACATGACTGGCCGCATTTTGGCACAGAAACCTGATGTTTCAGCAGGTGTAGATATGCAATTTTCCAGCTGAGTTTGAGGATTTACTTAAAGTATGGAGCCCAGACAGAAAAGCCAATTTCTTGATACTTAATTTAAAATCGAGAATTACTGGCGAAAGAGGTTTTATTGAGCGCCTCGAAAAAGCACTGGTAAAAAACAAAATGAAACGAATACATAAGGATGCTAGAAAACCTCACCCATGGCAATCAATTTCTCGCGTTCTTCGGGGGTAGCCAGGCTTTTCCAGAGATTTGGGTACTTCTTTAAAAGTTCCCCTCGGAAAAGGCGCATATAGCGGCCGACCTGCAAATCGAGTAACGGAATCAGACGTGCAACGAAGACAGCTGAACTTAGATATATAAAACTACGGAGCGAAGTTATCTGGCACTTTAAAGGATAGTGGAACTGCCCAGATATTTTGGTAACAATAGCATGACTTAACAAGGGAAACACTTCTGCAAAAAGGGCTGGATGACCACCAAATACGATGGAGGAGTGCAGCCAGAAAGTATGCATACCAGAAAGTATGTGATGGTTCCCCTGCGAATGGGCAAAAACGAGTAGTTACGTACGATAACCGGCGAGATCCGGCGTGCAAAGATGACGTATAAACAAGTGGCAGCACGAATATTTGGTTTTTTACTGCGTGAAACCAAACCCAGTCTTGATATAACAAGGAAACACAGAATTACACGAAACTTTCTGTACTTCCAACAGTAACCAGGAGTGAAATGAGCAAATAACGATGTTTACTTCGCATAAGACAAGTTACTCCCTAGGCTAACTGTCAGTCATGGAGTGCGTCCACAGGTGGCGACGTGTGACGGCATCTAGAGGCAGTTATCTACAAAATAACCTATCTCTCCAGTGTGGGGAATAAGCAGTAGCAAAACAGCAGCAGTAATGAGACTAGGGCACGAGGGCTAAGGTCGGGTGCGGCTATTCTTAAAGATGTTCCAATGCCCGATGATGGCATTGAGTCATGCCGACCGGTAACCGCTATCCACTACTGCCCCATGGTTAAGTTCTTCAGCCAAAGAGCTACAGGAGAGAAACAATCCAAGCGGCTGTTGGAGATCCATCTACACTGGAAATCTTCAAGATACCTCGTGAAAATGTCCGACTACTCTGCTACTACTCGTGCTACGGCGCCCGCGGGAACCGACACACCGCAGTCCGGATCCAGTGGTACGGACAAAATAGTATGCGAACTAGACTCGTGGTATAGGATACTGGCATGTGCGAAAATACCTGGATCCTGCTACCCAGTTTGACGGCACACAGCCATCAGCACAACGTGGATGTCTGTTGTCCGCCTGAAGTCCGAATCCTAGACTCAGGCGCTCGAAGAATATAGATCCCTGAAGACAACTTCCACTACACGCAGTATCACAGCTTCCCACGCGACTTTTCTGGTAGACACTATGACGGACGCCTTAGCAACAAACGAACCGCACAATACTTGCATAGGAACCAGTCAATGACCGGACGGCTTGCGTACGACATAAGGGGCACTTTATGAATATCTATATCGTCTGAGTGCACTTAAAAACATAAGTTGCCGAACAGCGTCATAATCAAACCTTCCCGTCGACCTGATCTGCTAAATGTTGCTGGAGACTGGAATAGCCGGACGGGACCCGATGACTCTTCAGACAGTTATCCTACTGACCGCTTTGGACTCCTCTCTCAATGCGACAATGGGGAGGAAATACCAAATACTGCTGACAAGGACCGACTGTTTATCAGCAAAATGTGCCTTCAGCGACGGTCGTACGACCAGTCAGATCAACCACATTCTAATTGGTTTAAGGATTCGCAACTGGGTTCACGACAGTAAATCAGTGCGTTGTGCCGAAACTGATAACGCCCATGGGTTGGATCATATTCCTGTCCACAAGCCTGTAAGTTCGCCTCTCATCTGCACCCAAAGTGCCAAGTATCAGACGCCTAAATTTCACAGGACTTCGACAAACTAGCATCACCAAAGCCATTAGCACATAAATTCGGTTCCGTTTTACGACTGGAGTTGACAGAGAAGACAGTAACCAATGGTAATAATTGAAGTTATCAGTTTATGGGGGAGTTGAGAAAATTCCTGGATTTACACAACGGCTCTGCAGTGACTGAATCAGCGGAAGAAACCTTCAAATTGTTGGTATAAACGAGTAGGCGACTTTCAGAATGCAGTGCCAGTGATTGCTTCTTCTTCTGAGCCCTACAGTTGCCTGCCCAGACAGCTCGAGCAACAGCTCTGCAACAATGATTCCTTCTGCTAACTACGGGAAATGACAAAGTCGGTCAAGGACGAGCAGCAAAAATACTGGACTAAAGCGGCAACCTGCATGGGACAGACCTCAAGCGCTGACGACAGTCGAAACCTCTACAAAATTATCTGCCAGGTTAGTGGTAGGCCCTCCGTTCTGAGTGAATTTGTTCGCGATCTGAATGGCGACTTTATCGTTAACAAATCGGTCAAGGTCGATCGCCGGTGTGAGCACTTTGAGCACTTTCTCAACCTTAATGATCAATCCACCACACCTTCGCTCTCCTCTGCAGCGGAGTTTCATCCCTCTCCAGCCTATGCAGCGTCATTTGGCCTCCCTGAGGCGGAAGTTGCTAGTGTAATACAGTCTGCACAACAACAAGGCGCCCGGAGAGGATGGTATTCAAACTGAAATCAAAGTTGCCTTGTTTATGTCGGCACTCTGTCTTCATGAGTTGGTTGAGCAAGCGTAAGGAAATGAGGTCGCTCATGATGACTGGACTCAGGCATCCCTATAATTGTCCTCGAGAAGAAAGACGAGACGGAGTATGAGAACTACCGTGGCGTAATCTTCACCGATTTTGCTGCGAAGATCTTCGCTGTTGTTCTTCCCAGGTCATTTTAAGGTGCGCGTGATTAGGACGAGATCCAACCAAGCCGGCTGCCGGGCTGGACGTGGATGAGCGGGTCAAATATTCACACAGCAGCGCATTCTTGAATCCCGCCATGGCTACCAGCAACCAACGGCTGTCTGCTTCGCTGACTTCGCCGCATTTGATTCTGTTCAGCGTGAATGACTGTGGCGGATAACGGAGCTGGATGGTTTGCTGGCAAAAATCATCGCTATGATCAAGGCCTACTATCGCTTCGCCACTGAACGAGTTTTGTCCGCGGCCATCTGTCCCAACAGTTCGATATATGATCTGGCGTCCGACAAGGTTGTACCTGTCGTCTAGTTCATTCAACTACGCCATTGACCGGGTTATCGGAAGAGCCTTACACAATTTTGTCAGTGTTATGTTTGCAGACGGACGTCGGTTGACTGATCCCAACTACGCTGACGATACCGCCTTGTTAGGCGCGCACTTTGGTGATCTACAGTTCGTGGTGAATGAAGTTATAAAATCCGTCGGTTTATCTATAGACGCTGAGGTGACCAAAATGTTTTCAAGCTACTTCCTTGACCAAGAGAAGACATCTCGGGATTACTTGCGGCCGGTTTGGAGGAGTGGGCAGCTTTAAATACCTCCGGGTGAGGCCGCTGCCAAATGAATAGAGTAAGGTCGGCATCGTTGCCCGAATTAACGTTGCTCACAGGGTTTATACAATCCTTGGAAAGTAGCGGTGGACTGCACGCGAAATCTCCATGTTCATAAAGATTTGCACGTGTCGTCAGTTCTATAAGGCTATGAATGCTGGGCTGTGTTGAAAATGAATAGATACCGGAGGTGTCTAACCACTGCTGTCTGAGGACCATCCTTCGACTTAAGTACGCCGACTTCGTTCTGAATGAGCCGGTCTGCACTTACTGCGACAACATCCTAAGTGTCTCAGACCATCCAAAAAAGAGGACTGAGGTGGTTTGGAAACGTCTTCCGCCGTTCGACTTCTATGGTCACTGCTGCTTTTTCTGATCGGGCACCGTTGCCCACCTGGAAGTGTCGATGTGGGGACCTATTATAAACCTGGGTTGACACAGTTCGTTAAGGCCTGGAAGCGGTTCTACATCGTTGAAGAAGAGAATGGGTCAAGCTGTCCAGATCCGTGCCGCATAAGTTTGCTTTCTTGGAGGCCCATCTTCGCTTGACCGTATACTATAACACAAATGGTTGTCGAATAGAGGCTGTATTGGCACATCGAGGCCTTCAAAAAGTGGACTGACGCACATATCGCTAGGTGTTTGTAGCAGCGCCAAGGTGGGCAACTCGCAAAATTTAAGCGCAGCGCATGCAACAGTGCTGGCGGAAGGCAAAGGTTGTGGCAGAACCGGGCTCGGAACGACTCCGAGCAGACATTTCACCTTCTCGCGGAAAACATATGGGTGGTTTACGAGCATAATGTGACTCAAAAAAGGTTAAAGGCACGGATGAAAACGAACAAAGCGGCTGTTGCAAGCTTGAAGGAAATATGAAATTAGCGCAACTCCGTGACGACCTAATCCCCCAATTTTAAGAGCATACTAAACGCGCCCAAAGCACTACTTGGATTAGCGCTCACAGCGGTTGTGTGGTTGCGTAGTACAAGGAGGCTTACAACCAAATTTCCAACCAGCAGCTCCACGACCAGACTAATAATCTGAAACAAACTGCTCAAAGTATCATCAGTGACGTCCCGGCAATTTGATGTCGCCTCCTGCGCATCTTAACAACTTCGTCCTGTGAGTAATGCTAAACGGAACGAAGACAACCTTGTCGAAATTCTGGCCGCACCCCTCTTCGGTCAAAACAATCCACCCGCCGCGCAGCCGATCGCCTCCGTCACACAAAATAATCCACAACCTCACAGAATATCTCGTTGAATATTAGCTAACGTGCTCCACCGGAAGCCGTCCTACACACTTACAAGGTATTGCAGGCCTGCCATTCGTCGATTCTGTTTCCCTCCTCTAGATTATCCTTCCAAATGCCACCCGCGGCTGTCGTCCCGTACTAACTGAAGCCTGGATAGGATACTGATTCATGCAAAGTGCTTATAGGCTGGGGTCCCAGGTACCACATCTTCAAGAACGAGACCGCCGCCTTTGTCACCCTTCTGGTGCACCTCGAGCGGAAGCAGCAGCAGAGGAGACAGGACCGCCGTCTCAGATCTTTAAAGCATCCACTACAATGCCTGAATTTACCGGTACATGAGGTGCTGGACATCCCTTTAGGGTCAGACATCAGTCTACACGGGCGCTGAAATCTCCCAGTGAGTACGACGGGATTATGAACTCACAACTCGACCTATGCAGCGTATTGGGAGAACGGTCGAACGACGACGACCAGATTTTCCAATTATTAATTCAATGGGTAAATCTGCTGCAAACAGCTTGTACTACTGTTGCCTCTGAGATGGCGCAGTGGTGACTTTGCATGAATTTGTGACGCAGAATTACGCGGCACCTACGTCACTTCATAAACAACGGTGTGCAAGTAACAATAGTCAAGACGGCTGGAGGTGGACGTCGGCACTGTGGCCAACAAAATTGAAGTCACATTTGCATGCGTCACACAAGCGATGGTTGTGGATTCCATATGAAACTTCTTCGAGGGGGATCGTGGACCACATAAGGGTGCCATAAAGGTCACAGTAAAAAGGAGCTCGTCTCATTATCCTGAGTAGGATCGAGTTTGGCCGCCGGTTCGCTACCCTAAAAGCTATGACTATCAGCGCACTTAGTACTTTCCGGTAAGGAAGCATAACGCAAGACCGGTAGCCTGTTGCAGGTCCATGAAGATGAAGTGTGGGCTCTGGAAATCCAATTGGATTGCCTTGATATTCAATGCCATTGCATATAAAAGGATGCAATAAAAAAGGACTTGGCGAACCAAGGGAGGTATTTTTGATGCAAAGCTAGCATTGCACTAAGGGTTGAGGGGGAAAGCATGGGGTGGCGGAAAAAGCAGCGTTATTCACCGCCGAAATAGAAGTGGGTTATAAGGACAAAACTGCTGACACAACATGCCGGAAATTAATTAAAATATACCTCAGAAGCAAGATAAAAGAACTCCCCGTCTGGCTGCAGCTGAAATTCGATTGGCTTTTCGCCATATCTAAATTCGAGAGACATTGTTCTTGGGTGATGGCCTAAACAGCCAGTTGCGGGTGAGAGTGATTAAAAAAACGCGATATGCGGACGAATTTTATGGCGCTGAATAGTGATTGGTCGAAAATTTTCATGTGAGCATCGATGGCTTCTGGGGATACTCTTGAGTGTAAATTATGTGAAGTTATGTTTAAATGGTGCTTCCAATATTGAAGAGGCCCGGAAGATATCATTAAGAAAGTCCGTCAATTGGGAAAGTTAGCCAAATAATAAGTTATTATATAGTCAGTGTGTATTGTTAGTCATTTAGTATAGTTAGTTCTTTAGTTAGTATAATAAGTTATCTAGTTGGTATGGATGGTAAGTAAGTTAGTCAGTTAGTTATTTAGTTAGTATAATAACCAGTGGGATAGCAGTATTAGTTAACTAGTCAGTTTGTCGGTTCGTTAGTTGGATTGTTGGCCAGTTAGTTAGTCACTTAGTTAAATTATTAACTTAGTTGGTTAGCCTTGATGATTAATTTTTTAGTTGGTTAGTTAAGTTGGTTGGCTAGTTAGTTAGTTCGTAAGTTGGTTTGTTAGTTAGATAGTTAAGTCAGTCAGATATTTTGTTAGTTCTTTGGTTAGCATTGTTAGTACAAATTGTATATACTTACTCGTTTCAAAATTTTCAGAAAGTTTGCTAAACTTAAGATTTCCTACGTCCATTGGCTGCCAGTTGTCCATCCAGAAACGCTATCGGGTAAGATATGGCGATGAGTGTGTGCCAATCAGTTAACGTAAATAACATGTGCATTGTACGGCAAATAGTCAGTATTTATGACAATGAGTTGTAAATTCCATTATTTTAAGACAATTTCTATCGCATTGTCACACTGATTACCATATCCCTAAGTTTCTTAAGCATGCAATACTTTGACGTTTGTTTGTTTTAACTAATCAACGTTTTATTTGTCCGTTTACGTTTTAGTTTTTGGGTTGCGAATTCTAAACCGCCAGTTTGTTTTGAAATCAATCCCAAATCTGAGCACGTTAAAACCAAGGGCTGCATATGCGCAACCAGAACACCAACAAATGGGAATGGCACCTTTGTAAGGAAACAAAACCAAATAAATCGAACATACGGTTTACAGAAAGAAACAAAAATAAATAAAAAATGGAAAGAAATCATTAATATAATACGCTTTATAAAGCGAAAAGCCCGTTTTCTTACTCATCGTCGAATGAACACTTTATCGTGATACAGAAGAATCGGAGGCGAACGAACGTTGCTTCCGATGTCTTGTTGACAGTCGCGTACAGTTATATAAGACTTGGTAAGGTGGGTGAAAAAATCGAAAAAAATCGGTTTTAAAAATAGTGGCTAGGCAAGAGCGAACGTTATCGAAATCAACAACGTTTTCTTTTCGGCGGTGAGTGTGATGGGTTTTGCGGGTCGTTCTGCAAGGTCTTTTTCAATGAACCTGTCAGGATACCCGTTTTCGCGAAGCGAGTCGTGGATTTTTCTAAGTTCCTGCCCTATACTATCTGTTGAACAATATTTTGAAGCCCGTTGTGCCAACCACCTGACTAGATTTCACTTTTTTTGGAGAGGTACGAAACTGGCGAATTTCATGTATTGTCCAGACCGGGTTTCCTTCCGAGAGAACATAAAGTTAATTCAAAATACAAATTAAACCAGGTGACCAACCGAGGCGGTAAGCTTCAAGACGAACGCTGTCTGCAGCATCACCGCAGCTTGCGGATCCAAAAGTGCCATCATAAGATTTTAATAAACAAAATCCCCGTCACCGCCCCCATGACTACTCATAGGCTGACAGAGAGACACTGTTCTCTATGGCAGCACAATTACTCATCCACCTTTACATACCTCAACCATACATCGTCCGAAAATGAAGGCAACACCGTTCGCCTGCGAACTGGACCGCTGCATGTTGGACACTGCGGCTGTCAGTGAGACCCCTGTCTCTGAATAGGGCTAAGTGAAACTGGGTGCCGCATACGCCTTTTGTTGTGGAGGCCAAGGGCTGGGCGATGTGAAGCCGAATTCGCTTTCACAATCAGGGCTGGCGTTGTAAGACCCCTGTCCTGATCTGCCATACGCGTCCATGGACGTCTCCTAGTCATTACGCTCCTGCAACGCGAGAACGAAATTGCCAACATCGTCAGCGTCTTTAGCCACTCAGTGAGCAAATTAGATGAAGTGGAGAACAAATTCTACGAAGACTTGCACCCATGCCATCAATTACGCAGACGGCGAACAAAGTGGTTGGCCTTCTTAACCATAGTGTTCGCGTCGACACAAAACATGTCGGCTCGGATTGATTGCTCGGTCGCCACAGGATCAACAGCTGCAACAACATGGTCCTTCTCTATCTGCAGGCCTAAAAGGAAAACGATTTTACCCCGGTTTACATCTGCCTTCCCGATTCCAGATAAGGGGACGTGAGCATGTCCTCGGTTGTGTCACTGGCAAACGTAGTTCCAGCCAAAGTCCACAAATACGGAAGCTCCCAACTCTAGGAAAATCTTACCTTCGTAATCCATGGGATGTGGTGATAAGGACTCAACTCCAATACCTTGAGGATGCTGCGACCACGCACCCCCAAAATCGCAAGTGAAATCGGCAATTGCTTTATAACCAGATGAATCACCCTCCTTAAGATCACGGAAGTAATCTTACTCTGCGTCCAACCCAATGGTCTGAACGTTCATCTGGAGTAAGAAATGCCTTCAGAGGCGCATTGTGGTTTACTGGCACTGCGTGAAGGCACAGATATGAATGTGCCAGCCCCATCAGCTGCAGGAAAAGTGTCAGAATGAGTGCCGACTCATACACCATATTTGTCAATCTGTTGGGGACCTTTGACATTGTGAATCCCAGTCGGCTCTAAGTAATAACGCTGCAGTTCAGATGTGACAAGCGGTTCATACAAATGGCAAGACGAATTCCTTGCAAAATCATCCTGCAATACGATCGTCCGCAGACACGGCCACATTATCCCACATTCCCTCATCAACACATGCATCACTCACACACCCTTTCAAAATCCCATATCACCAACACTTACCAGGTAAGTTGGAGGTGTGTTGTTCAGCCCCAAACGATCTACCTCCTCGTATGTTAAAACTCGGCAACTTCATATGGGGGAGCGCAGGCCGTGTGTATGGCACGCATAAACGAGCTGTCCTCAGCTCTCTCAGCCACCATCCCCAGTATTGGTATCGTTCGGTTTGCCGGCTCGGCAGGGAACTGCCGCACGGGTAGAGTTAGTGAGGTTGAATCTTAGGACATAATTTCCAACTGCTTTGATGGGACCCCGACGGGTCTTTAATAAAAATAATTGAATTGAATTGAATTGAAATAATCTGACGCGCTTGAGACTATCACGTTGGGGAAAAAGCCGCAATTTTCAGGTCACTGGGTGACTTTTTATAGCAGACCACACAGTCAGCCCAGTTGGGTGTTTGTGTGTTGAGGCGCTGGTCGGTGGACTGCGAATCAGACTGCAATGGCTCCTTCCTAACACGACCTCTGTAGCGCCCACGCATTGAGGCCCATGCCACTCACGCCCTTTATCGCGAAATCCTGATGCTTATAATAATAATAATTTTATTAAAGACCCGTCAGGGTCCCCTCAAAGCAAATAAAAATAAATTTACATACGAATTTTAGAAGAGATAGGCAGAATCTGTACAGAATGCAATTCATAGTTTCTGAATTTGTAATCCGTTAAGAAAAAAGATTAGCTAGAAGTGTAAAAAAACTCAACTTAAAATTTAAAAATGTTCGGATTAATTTTACAGGAGAAAAAAACCCCTCGCTAAAAAATAATAGCGGAAAAGTACGGGCAGGACTGGCCTGTATGTCTCGGGATATAACACATTATAATCGGACATCTTCAGGGCAGAAAGAAATGTCAGCCTTGAGGGGTACGTATGCGGGTCGGACAGACCTGGGCTGTATGTGGTACTGTATACGGGATTCAGAACTGATATCGTCAGGACAGGATTGATACGCCGGATGAGACTATTCGAGTCCAAGTAGGTAAGTAGGCGGATCAGGCAGGATTGGCCTGTATGTGGCCTTGAGTAAAAAGTTCGAAACGGTTATTATCAAGGCAGAATTCATATGCCGGGTGAGGCCATTCACGTCTAAGTGGCGAAATGCAAACCAGTCTGGAGGCGATTGGAACCGAGGTGCAATCGGTTACATTCAGCCGAGTCCATCCGAGGAGGGGACAAGAGAAATGCGACCAGACTACTAGTATATGACGAAGACAGAAGGCCTTGCCAAGAGCGTCGATGGAGGGCATTCTGTGAGGACATGATGGATGAACTAAAAAATTGGAAAAAGTAACACTTCTGATGAGGGAACTTAGGAAGCGATACGACTCGCAAAAGAAGGAAATGTGGGCAGAAACGGAAAGTTAATGGCGGCGTCCTAAAATTCCGGTGGCCCTTTCTCAGTGTCTTAGAGAAAGTTGTCCGCGAAGGATGAAAAAAATGAAAGTTCAATCGAGTCAGTATTTAGATGAAAGTCTAGACTTCACTCAAAGGTGCGTAGATTATCTTTTTCAGTTTATTCAGTTTATTTGGTAAGGATAATAGGCAAAGCCTTTGAAAACCCTATTGATTAAATGTCAGCCCGTTAGAAATAACCGTACACGATGAAAACATTCGGTATCAAAACAGTACTTGATACACTTGAGTAGCATTTTCTCAGAGAAATTATTTGGGTGGTCGTGGGGTATTAGTCCAGATTGAGACTGTCGAAGGAAAACAGGCTAGACAAATAATTATCCGAGCGTTTCTTGAAGAGTTGTAGAGACGTAGCCACCACGACTGACTGAGGGAGACCGTTCCATTTCTCCACTTCCGTCTGCGTGATAAATTTAGAACGAAGATTCAGCCTGGACATTGTTGTCCGTAACTTCATCGAGTGACCACGAAGATTGGGTGAAAGGTGCCACTGATACATGTAATAGAGATTTGAGGTATTGCTGGAATAATTCTATATCGTGGTTTATTCTGTTCTTTGGGATGTCTGAAGAAGACTCAGGTTTTGCGTTGCTACGTTGTCGTTGTCCGACGAGGTCAGTTCGTACATGCAATGTCCGTGGATAGCGTGGACACGTTGGAAGTGGCTTAATGATGGGTTTGTGTGTCCGTTACGCTTGACAGCTGCGAGTCAATCCTCGGGCTTTTGCAGTGGCTATTCGGTTGTGTCCTCAGTTGCTGCCCCAGTTTTCACTGTTCTTCTTCAGGCCGGTCGATCCCGAGCGATGGCCTCCAAAATCGTCGGATTGATTTGTCGATCACTAGGGGAGGTCCGTAGCGTGTACTTGTAGCGTCACTATTATCCTCCTTGTCAACCTACACCCAAAGTCGCACTTCCGTAGAAGAGTCTTTCGGGTTACCGTTCATAGACCATTGTCACAAGTGGTTTCTGCGACGCAATAGCAGTTGCCTCAGCATGGCGCGGATGCTGAGGATCCCAGTCCACTCCAGGATTCCCGTGTCCGAGATCCTGTCCTATCGCCTTAATTTTAGTATTCTTCGGAGACAGTTGGGGTGGATGTGGCCGAATTCCCTGTCTTGGCCGACATAAACGGTCCGTGCCTCCACTCCGTATCGTAGCGTTTTCAGTAATACCGCTCTGTACGTTTTAAGTTCCATGCTGATCCGAAGTCCTTGACAGTTGCAAACGGAGATCAGCAACCGGCCGAAAAACAAGCTAATTTAAGGGATCGAGTGGGCAACTCCGTCGCCTATCTTGTTGTCGCCTGAGATGACGCTGGCTTGGTGGGACAAGTGTGGTTCCATTCACGTTGATCCTGGACGCAATGTGTTCCTCTGTTGGTACAGATTGGTGCATGTCTCCCGGCTTTTCAGTGATGACAGTAAACTGAACATTTGCGAAGCCGGAGGCGAATCTGTTTACGCCTGTATGCATGATTGCTTTTGTCGTAGCATTTAGTGTACAGCTGTTAATGAGGAGGAGTTCATAGAAAGGGGTTTGTGGATGTTTTCGTTGTTGCTTGTCTTCGTCGGGTTTGGAAAGCTGGTCGTCTTTCTTCTAGACTATGTTGATCCCAGGGCACTTGTCATGATAGACGTCCATCGGAGTGACAAGGATTCTAAGACTGAAGAGGATAGGAATGAGTACAAAATCCCGTTTCACTCCATTGTTCACTGCGAGTGCTTCTGATACTGCCCTATGGTCCGCTAAGCGCGCTATCATGACGTCGTGAAACTGACTCATCTTGCACATGAATTGCTCAGTTTATACGATTTTGTGAGTGATTTTTCAGGCTCCGTCACAATTCACTGTGTCGAGGGCTTTAATTAGGTCCATGAAGATAGCGTTGTGATGGGCCTGTGCTCCCTGGCACTTTGTGCAGTTGTCAGGCAGAGAAAATAATGTCGAAGGTGGCACTGCTCCACCGGATTCTACACTGGATTTCAAGTGGAGCTCTTGTTTCAGATGGCCGTTTAGACGACCGATGTAGATGCGAGCCAAGACATTTCCGGCGGTGTAGAGCAGCGAAATTCACCTGTGATTGTCACAGGTTTCTCGTTTTTCATTGAAATTATGGTGTCTCAGGCATTCCGAGACCCTGAAATCCCGGCGGTTTTTCTTTGCCGCCATATCTCCTCGAGCAACGACGTAAGTTTACTCACGAGCCGAGGGCAGCCAAGCTTGAAGACTTCAGTAAGTATCACGCCGGATCCTGCTGCTTTCCCGCATGGGAGCTGCTGTACGAGTGACTGTATTTGGAAGGGAAGTCAGGAGATTCAGGCCGTCGATAGCTTCTGCTTGGGAGGGGGGGACGGCGGTCGATGATTTTGGATGGGCGGTTGACGACCCATCTGAGATTCTCGGTTCAGCGATTCAGAAGTTCAGATTTCGAAGTGAGGAGTGTTGGCCCATCGGAACTAGACAGTGGCGGGTTTATTTGTCTCTGTGTTGGGAGTGCCTACACTCTCAAAAACAAGAGCCAGCCAATCACTGGAGGTCACGTTCGTTTTCTCTACTGCGCTGTCGTCTTAATCGTGACGCCTTGCCATTGGCTTTTCCTCTCGGACCTTATCAATCTGCATATTCTAATTATCGACCGGCTCATCTGGAATGCTCTTCCCGAAGGGCATTTGGCCGAATGCCGGCGAAGCACTGTAGGGCGTTATAAATATGCGTTACATCCAGTCAATTCTGGCTTGCAATTTCCTAATACACTTTTTCGTGGCCGGTCGCGTTCTCCTTCTCTGCCGCGTTGGAATTGGGAACAAGGGTCGAGTACGCATACACTCCACGGATTTCAAGTATCAGGCGGGCCATAACAAATTGGCGACGCAGTTTTTTACTACAATGGCTGACGTGTACACTGACTTGAAGCAAATGTTGCAGCAGTAGCTGACGTTGATGGAGACTCTGACTGTCAAGCTATCCAATTCATCCGTGAGCCAATCAAGCGCGGCTAGTGGTTCACATTCTGTCGCTCACACTGCCAGCAGCCTCACTTAATTCTTGTATGACCCGCAGGCACATATCACTTTCGATTTCTGGTACAAACGATACGAGGACTTGTTCTATGTCGACCTGGCTGCCCAGGACGATGCACGGAAGGTTCGACTTCTATTTCGCAAACTGGGTCCAGCTGAACATCAGCGTTATGCCAAGTTCATCCTCCTCAAGAATCCCTGAGAGTAACTTTCAAGGACGCGGTTCAGACGTTGTCACAGATTTTTTGGTGAGCAATCATCCCCTTTTCAGCGCTCGATTTCAGTGCTTGCAACTGTGCTAACGAGATTCCGATGATTTCATCAGGTATGCGGGCATTGTCAATCCTAAGTTTGGGCGTTTCCAACTCGGTTCTCTCACTGAAGACCAGTTTAAATGCCTTATATTTATCTGCGACCTTCAGTCCCCCACGGATGCTGATATCCGCACACGTCTCCTGTCCAAAGTGCAGCAGAACAACTCTAACACACTCCAAGAGCTGGCAGCAGAGTGCCAAACGCTGATCAACCTCAAGCACAACTCTGCAATGATTCAGAAGCTTGCCTCATCTTTCTCAGTCCGTACGGTCACATCGACCAAATCGCATCCTGTTACACGGCCCAAGGAAGAGGCTAAGGCGAGCTCTCCGCAATCTCCTTGTCGGCACTGCGGCGCGTGGCATTTCCACCGGGATTGCACTTTCCGCCAGCATTGCTGTCAAAGCTGTACTCAGATGGGACACCGTGAGGGGTTCTGCAAATCGAAACCAGTTTCTGGATGCAAGCCAGCCCCCGCCACCTCTCGTTCCAGGCACCGTTCCGGCCGAAACGCAAGTCCAAGTACCAGTCCGTTGGTAATTCCCTCAGTCTCTTAGCTGGTTTCCAGCTCAATGCGCCTGGCCGTAGAAAATTTGTTGACGTTCTGCTCAATAGCCATGCAGGTCGTCTACAATTGGACTCGGCCTCAGATATCACTATCATCTCTGAGAGACTCTGGCAGTCCCTCGGCAGCCCCACGATGCAGCTGACTTCCCAGTCCGCCACAAGCGCGTGTGGTGGTCTCCTTCAGCTAATTGGGCAACTGCAATGCTGTGTGTCGTTCCGCGGTAAAAGCATCACTGCGATCTGCTACATCACCAAGTCTGATCTAAACCTACTTGGTCTCGACTGGATTGAACAACTTGGTTTGGCCGATATGCCGCTCCGCGTTGTTTGCAGTCAGGTGCAGATTCCCGCTGTGCTTGCCGACCAAGCCAAGGACATTCTCCATCAGTTTGTCTCAGTGTTCCAAGACGGCCCGGGTCGTTGCACATACACTCAATCCGTGCCACATCTGACTCCTGGAAGTCAACCAGTTTTCCGTCCAAAGCGACCAGTCCCATATGCAGCCCTACCACTTGTCGAGGCTGAATTGAAGCGTCTAGAGGAATTGGGAGTTCTGGTTACTGTGTCCTACTCCTCCTGGGCCGCTCCAATCGTTGTGGTTAAGAAGCCCAATGGCTCGACCCGCATTTGTGCTGACTTCTCCACCGGTCTCAATGCCGCACTGACACCGAACTGCTATCCATTAAGGGTTCCGGCTGATCTTTTCACCCTGCTGAATGGCGGCACTTACTTTGCCAAGTTGGATCTCGCTGATGCGTATCTGCAGATCGAGGTCGCCCCTGAGTCGCGCGAATTGTTGGCCATCAGTACCCACCGCGCTCTGTTCCAATACACCAGGCTGCCCTTTGGTGTCAAGACCGCCCCGGCCCCATTCCAACAAACGATGAACGCAATGCTCTCCGGCATCCCTGGCACAGCTGGACGACATCATCATCGTGGGTCGCTCCCCTGCCGAGCTGCAAGACCGAGTGTGCGCAGTACTCGAAGGCGTGCAGGAATATGGCTTTCGCCTACTGGCCGACAAGTGCCAATTCTTCCTCGACTCCATCAAGTACCCCGGATTCGTTTTTGACGTCACTGGTCGCCATCCAGATCCTGAAAACATTCGGGCCATCCAACGGATGCCTGCAACCAAGAATGTGTTGCATTTTCGTTCGTATCTTGGCTTGATCAGCTACTATAGCGCCTTCCTACCATCGCTGAATGACGTACGGGCCCCGCCCAACCGTCTGCTGAGAAGGCTGCTCCCTAGCACTGGTCCTCCGACTGTGAAGAGCCCTTTGCCCAACCAAAGCCGCTGCTGAGTTCGGATATGCTGCTCACGCACAACGACCCGAGGCTGCCGATCGTTGTTGCTGCAGATGATTCCAACCACGGAGTTGGCGATGTCATCTCACATACTTTCCCTCACGGTTCTGAAAAGGCGATCATGCATGCATCTCGCACGCTAATTCCTGCGGGGAAGAACTACGGGCAGATCGAGAAAGAAGCTCTAGTCCTCGTGTTTGTCGTCAAGACGGTCCAAGAACTGTTGTACGGTCGTAACTTCACGTTGTTGACGGGTCACAAACCATTGCTGTCAATCTTCGGTTCGAAAAAAGGCATTTCCGTCTATTCAGCTAGCCGACTTCAGCGATGGGCAACCATCCATGTTAGCTACGATTTCGACATTCGTTACTGCCGCACTACAGACTTTGGTCAGGCTGACGCCCTTTCTCGCCTCATCGGCAATAAGCAGGAACCGAAGGAAGACACCGTGATTGCCGCTATTGCGATTGAGGACGATGTGCGCCGTCAGCTATCAGACGCCATACGAGGTATCCCTGTCACTGCCGCGGACATCCGACATTCTACTGAACAGGATCCTGTCCTCCGTCAGGCCATCACTTACGTGCAGACCTACTGGTCAACCACTGCTCTCGCTGGCGATCTTCGCCAGCTCTTCCTCCGCCGAGTATCGCTATCTGTGGTTGACTCCTGCCTCATGTTTGTGGACAGTGTGGTGATCCCATCCTCCTTCTGGCCCACTGTACTACGCCAGTTCCATACGGCTTATCCTGGCATTAGCCGAATGAAGTCAACTGCTCGCAAATTTGCTTGCTGGCCGGGTATCGACGGCGATATCGACGACCTGGTTCGACGCTGTTCTTGATGTCAGCAAGCTGCCAAGATGCCGCCTTGTCAACCGCCAATGCCCTGACAACCACCAGAGAGGCCTTGGTCACGCGTGAATATCGACTTCGCTGGCCCATTTAACGGAGTCTCTTACCTCATTTTGATTGATGCCTACTCGAAGTGGCCCGAGATTGCTCCGCTGAATCCAGCGAACTCATCTGCCGCTATCGCCTTCCTACGACGCATATTTAGCCAGCGTGGCTTACCGGAAGTGCTCGTTTCAGATAATGGCTCTCAGATTACTTCGTCGACGTTTGAGGATTTCTGCCGCCAACACAACATCCAGCATCTTCGCTGGCCGCCGTACCGTCGTCAGTCTAACGGTCAGGCGGAGAGTTTTGTCAACACTTTTAAGAGTGCCTATTACCCACAGCGTTCTCGAACTTTATTTTTTCTGTTTCCATCTGTTACTTCGTCTGCTGCCGCCGTCGCTGCCCGTCTCTTACTGCGGAGTGTCCCGCTGGATTGGGTTTAAACACAAACTGATTGGTCCAGAAGGTACTCTGGGATTCATAAGCTGCGCATTTTTAAATAACACTTAGACAAGTCTCGAGCTCCAATGAAGCACTATAACAATCGGGCGTATTCGAAAGATCAAAATACAGGGGGGGTTTGAGATGTGATTACTCTTCTCCCAAGGTTTCACTGAAAAAGGTTTTCAGTTATTTTACGGACCTTCCTCCAAACTCTGCAAAACAAGTAAACAGTGGAAGAGCACAAACGAACGGTAATCTTGAGAGACGAGATACTAACGATTACACCTTTCCTTTTTAATTTTAACGGCGCCGTATTCAAATTCGCGTAGGTACCGTGACCGTCCATGACTGTCACTAGGTCATATATGTATTTCCAATTATCTAGGGTTTAATCAAGCAAAATGAGGTCAAGTCTGTTTAAAATTTCGTCAAGTTCATAGAAGAGCACCCTGAAAAAAGCAACCACAGCAGTTAGGGAGAATTCGAATAAATTTTAACTTAGAATTGAATCTCGTAAGGTACCTCAACAATCAGAAGAAAAGGTTGAGGATAAAAATCACAACCGTCACGATCGCGTAGAAATCTAGTGGAACTTCGTCGCCAGCAAAAGGTAACAGAAGTCGGGAACGTTCATACAGAGAGGGAATAAAGATTTGGCCAGACTCTATCGTTTCGCTGCTATGTGGGAGGGAACAGCGGGCCTCTGAGGGAGAGTACCACGACAATCCAAGATCCTCCTGTTGAGTGTCCGTTTGTGGCTAGCCAATGGCATGTAGTAGGAGAAGTTGGCAGGCTTAAGGGAGGGGTAGAACCCATTCTGATTCATTATAAAACGTCCTGGTTGGAAGTTGGATCTTGCAGCGTGGGTCGATTTGGCAGTCACCGGACCTGTGTCACCAGGTCCTGCTGCACACCTAAATTGTGGACTTCGGCTACCACGGTTAGCCTGGTGTCTACAGCCCATATCGTTCCGTGACTGGGGCACTCTCAATGGTGTGTGCTGGCTCACCTTCTGTGGCCGGTGCAAGGAGTCATGGATAACACCATCACGGGTCTGAAGGTTGTACATCGAGCTGCTATGCCTTTCCGCATCTATCGCCACATTTAGTGGTTTTTGGTAGAACTGCGAAAAATAGGAAATAAAAATGTTCGAGTAGCAAAAATATAGTCCCTTATGCACATGAATATCAACGGTAAAATATTTTTATAGGCAAATTGCTATATAGTAAGACCTTGACTGTGAACTGTGACTAAGCGTGGCACTTGGTCGGTGATACGCTTCGACCCACTTTCCAGTAACAAACCAGCAGGCTAAATGCTGGCTCATCACGCTGCGACGGCAACTGCATCCAAGACCTTTACTCATTAAGTGACAGACTCAGACAGTCGACCGGCAAAAAGGAGAGAGGAGAGTAAGGCCGAAACTTCGAGCCACACCCTCACGACACATCAACGCATTTTAACTAAAATAACTTCGATCCGCTGAGTCCTGTCACAGCGCGCTAAGATACGTAACTCAGAAGGATGAAAATGACGGGAAAACCCAATCCTCATAGTGATTATTTAGGGGTGACTATGAGACCTACAGCCAGGCTAGAACGGCGCATTCTTAATGTTGCCCTACGACATTCTCATCCATATAAGATCTGATTCTCCCTTAATGTGACCTGGTACATGGTATGAAAACCAAGTCACGTGTGACACGCGTGGACAAATTGTTTATTTTTTTCAGTCACTGCGCCAGATCCCACGTCCGGTCGTTTTGCCACTGTCTTGTCTTCAGAGCGAGGTAAGTGAGCGATGAGGGCGTGCAATAAATGCTGTATAAGGCTGTCTGACTATAACCCAATTCACGCGCGAGTTGCCAGTGTTGCGTCCACTGTAAATCACGCGGTGGTCCTCATCACTTGCGAGTGTCTATCCATCGTACAGGAATTTTCCACACAAAGTGTACTCTAGAAACATAACGGACTATCTGTGTCGGTAGCGAAAGTTGCGTCACTGTCAGTGTTCAAAAAGGATCCATTAAATCCGTATATACTCACTGTTCCAAAGGGTTACCCACTACCAAAATGCTACTGAAGTGTTTTCGCCGACGTCCACATCGAGAATGCACTTGCATATACATATATATGTGCAGCTGAGGTGTGCCCACTACTGAGTCCACGTGAAGGCTGTAGTAGGTCGCTTCACTTGTTTCTTGCAGGTGTTAGCTGCGCCTAGTGTTCATTAACTAGAACCATACTCTCACATGGGGATCCCTGAAGGTAGTCTCTGCCTAGCGGCCACAACCGGTAAAAGCCTCGACAGGAGAACAAAACCGCGCGATGGTATCCGTGTTGAGTGTCCCCACACCCGGCAACCCAGTTTCGTTTCCCATCTCACATCTTCGTCCTCCTTCCTTGAACAAGGCCAACTGGAGGAGGTGGGTGGCGGCTATACATTCTTCCGGAACCACGCCAAAAGGCAGAGTTAGCGATACCGCCTTCGTCTTTTTCAGTCAGAACGACGTCGCAGAATCACTGTCCTGACTGCCGCAGGACATCAACAAACAAAGCTATCTGCGACGTCGATGACTGAGAGGATAACCGCCTGGACACCTCCAAGATAAGGCTTTGTCTGTAATTACGCAGGGGGCCACAAAATAAGCGACCGCCATGTAAGCTGAATATTGTTCTGTTAGGTTGCTTGCGCACCGTTTGCATTTCAGCGGTCGGTTACCTCAGAAACTGGAAGACCTGCCAGCACAGGATTACAACGTCACCGTGGAGACTCGGTGATGTCAACTGCAGAGCGCCATCCACTCGACTGCTCTGGACGTCGCCGGTTGTGCACGTCGCCAACATCAGGACTGGCTCGGCGACAATGCTGCCGACACCATCGACCTGCTCGCCGAAGAGAACAGGATATCCAGAGCCTACATCGACCGTTGCAAACAAAACTGACTTCTGCCAATGTCGCCGTCTTGCGCAGCAAGGACCGCGAAAAATGCGGGACGCCCAGATGACTCGCGAGGCCGAGGAGAACCAGGGATACGGCAACCGTAACAAAACAAAGAATGTCTTCGCTGTGATCGAGACGATCTACGGCCTCCTTACCAAAGGAATCACATCACTTCTCATCTCTAGTAGATCCACGCTCCTGACGAAGAAGTTGCAGATTCTGAAGTGCTGGGCCGAGCACTTCAAAAGCGCCCTAAACCAACCCTCTAAAATCTCCGACGCCGAAGTCGACATACTTTCTTAAATGGAAACGGATGTCGACATGAATCTCTCGTCGTCTATTTCAGAAACAATCTGAACTAGCCAGAGCAAAAGCACCAGGTTTCGGCGCGATTCTGGCCGAGGTCTACAAGCGCGGCGACTCTCAATTGAAGGAATAACTCACGGCGCTATTCCAAGAGATGTGGCGCTGTGAACAGTTGTCTCAGGACTCCAAGGACGCAAATATCGTCCATCTTTACAAATGGAAAGGAAACCGGAAACTCTATGACGATAACGGAGGAAATTCGCCGATCAACATCGCCGGGAGTATCTTCGAAGGTACCCTCCTTAGCAGCCTCATCGGTCCTCTAGGACAAGGAATTCTGCCGGAAAGTCAGTGTGGATTTTAACGACACCGCGCAATCATTGCTATTTGGAATAAACTACCCATGAGTGTGGAAAAGCTGCGAAATTATCCTTTATTTAAGAGAACTATTACTCGATTTTTGCATTCAGAAAAGCTTCCGCAAATTTTGGGTGCTGAATCCACTGATCGACTCTACCGTAACGATGGCGTTTGTGGTCTCTAAACACTATGGCCGGTCTCACCAGCTGTTCCTCAACGCCTCTACTTTGAGTATCCCCAACTTCATGAAAGGAATTGACGTCCGATAATCTCCGATACCGTGCAACCCTCCCCCCATCTTGACGGTCGAAAGTTAACCACCAGCAGTTTTTTCTCCTGAACCATCCAAACCATAAAATTCACCATCAACTACATTTTTATTCCTTCACTCCAGGAGTTTTTTTCACTGCTGGTCGGATTTGCGTTTAATCGCTTCCCTTGACAATGCCTGTAAACTGGCATTTAATAAATTATTATGATTATGATTATTATTATTATTATTGTCATGATATTTGCCACTAGTCAGTTACAAAAATGTCAGAGGCTGCGGATTCACTCCTACACTAACTTCATGGACCTGGTGAACGCCTTCGACACGGTGAATCGCAAAGAGTTGTGGAAATCATGCAGAAGTTCGGCTGTACGACGGGATAATGGCGTGCGTCAAGGACGACGATGCAATCCCCGAGGCATTCACAGTGAGCAGTGGAGTGAATCAGGGGTGCGTACTCGCCCCCCTTTTCAGCTTCATGTCTTCTGCCATGCTGGTGGACGTCTATCATGATGTGCGCCCCGGAATCGGCATCACCTGCATGACCGTCGGACATCTTCTCGACGGCCGGCGAATGCAGGTCTCAACGCGTCTCTTGATGGCTACTATCCACGATCTGCTCTTCGCCGACGACTGTGCACTGAAATCCACGACCGAAGTAGACATTCAACGGAGCACGATTCTCTTCGCCTCTGGCTGCGCCCACTTTGGCCTGACTTATCAAAATGGACAGGACGGTGATCATGCACTAACCGCCAGAGAACGCTGCATACAATGTCCCACGCACCCATGTCAACGGCACCGAACTGAAGACCGTAGACAACTTCACCTGCTTAGGCATCAGAGTCTCACGTTGCATCAGAATAGACGACGAAGTGGCCCACCCAGTCTTGAAAGACATCGAAACTTTCGACCGGCCGCAAAACTTCGTGGTAAATCGCCACGGCCTTCACTTCAACACAAAACTGAATATGTAAAAGCTATCGCTTTACCGACGCTGCAGTATGGAGCAGGGACCTGGACTGTTTATGCGAAACAAACGCGGAAGTTCAATCGATCCCACCCGAGTTGGCCCCGACGGATACTCAAGTTGAGGTGGCAGGATAGGATTGTTGACAGGGAAGTCCTCAACGTCCACGTCATGCTGAGGTAATCGCAATCAAGTCGGAGCAGTCATCCCGTGAGGATGAAAGATACCCGTCTATCAAAACAAATATTTTATAGAAACTGTGCCACTGATGCCTGCCGACAAGGAGGCCCAGCTAGTTGCTACAAGGAAACCTCGAAGGACTCCTTGAAGCGTCCACATATAAACTCGAAGACATGAAAAAGTCTCGCACAAAACTGGACAGACAGAAGAAATGCAATGAAGACTGAAGCAGTAATCTGCGAAGTAAAATGAATCACCGCTGCTAAAATCAAAAGGTAGACCCGCAAGTAACAAGTGCCTCGGCACCATAATGCCAACAGCCAGCCGTTTCTAACATGCATGCGCTGTCAACGCATAGTCCGCGCGCGAATCGGCATTGTTAAACGTCTTCGGAAACAATGCAAGAACGACCTGGCTAAGTCAACCTCTCCTCCCACGAACACTTCCTACTGTTCCCCCCTGCCTCAAATCCTACGACGACCACCACCCCCGTCACCGGTGATCACACTGCTGATGTCCCGTCGTCATCGATCGCCAGCATCTTCCGCCCTGCCCTAACCCCTGAACCGATCACAGCGACCAGCTCCACCAACATCATGACCTCTCGCACTCGCCCAACCAACGAGACGATATCCGAGGTTCCGTTATCTACTACAATCACCACCAACACTCCCACCTCCGGCGATGCGGACTCGGTTACGACCTGTCCTCATCGCGATCGTACATTCGCATCACGCATAGGTCTAGTCAGCCACCTGCGAATCCATCGCACGAAAAGTGGCCAACCAGTGTCTGGAGCATCAAAATGTGCTCACCACCTGAGCTGTCCACACTGCATGCGCACACTTATTTATCGCATTGTCTTTTCGGTCCCATGCGACCCAAGAAAGCGGAATTCACCACAGTATTGACACACCAACACACCTTGCACACCCACCATGCTCAGCGTAATAAACACCTCGTCGCCCAGCGTGCCCACTACTACTACTACTACTACTAACGCCGCCGCCGCCGCCACCACCGCTGCCAAAACAGTCTGCAGCTCCCGACAAATCCTTCTCACACTTTCATCGTACGCCGCCCGGTGGAGCAGCAGCATACACCACACTTAAACGCCTCGAACATTCAGCCACCGCATGGGCCTAGTAAGTAATATGAGCATTCAGAAAACCTGCGGTAAATCATCGCAGCTACGAAATCATACAGTCCCCATCAACACATGCATCGCGCATATATCCCCCTAAAATCACACATCACCAGCACCTCGCATGCAAGTGGGCTGTGTGCTCTTGGGCTCCTTTCTCCGTGTGGCTCAACCGCTGCTAATGAGATTGTGTGTGAAATCCTAGTGTGTGGGTTTAAGGGGCCAGGTCTTGCACGTGGCATGGGCAGAAAGGGCCACTAGCTATGCCAGTCATTGCGCCCATTCCCGACACCATACATCGGACCGGCTCGGACAGTGGCTGGAGCCTGCAGACCGGAAAGGAGAATGAGGTCGACGACTCAGCGCACTTTCCTCACGATAAACACCCTGACACGCTTAAGGCTATCACAGGGCGCTAAGAGCCGTGTTTTGGAAGGTTGCCAACTGACGAGGTAACTCTAATCTCGCAGTCGGCCCAATGTATGTTTGTGTGGAGTGGTCAACGGGTAGATATGGGGTCAGGCTGAAATGGCTCCTTCTCATTGTGGCCTCTATGGCCCTCCCACTTTGTTGAATACGAGCCGGGTGTGGAAGCACGCCTAGGGGCGGATCCGGCCACACAAGCCACCTGCGCCCTCTGTCGCCTCCGGTCTTCTTGGCTATGTCTTGACATCGCGCCCAAGTGGGGAGAAGGGAAGAGCTGAGTAAATGCTGAGCAAGTCTACCATCACCATAACTAGTTGATGCCCGAGTCACCGTACCTGCTCTCACCCTACTGTGGACCACACAGTGGACATCGTCGCTCACAGCGGCCAAAGTGTCATGGGTACAGATGGTTTGCTAGCGACTGAATTGCATTTAATTATGTTTTCATGGGCACTACCCATTGCATACGAGAAACAACAAATTTATTGAAATGTTCCAAGCGACACGCCCTGATCACAGGATCACAGCAATGTTATGCAGTTTTGGCCAAGCAGTGGGTTAATTAATACATTTCCAGGTGGCAGCCACAATATCGGCCTTCTGCAATGCGTCAGCTTTGACGAATAAGCACGCAGAAGCAATACTTTCGAATGAAGCCGTACATATCAAAACAGATGTCTAGATAAAGGTCACAAACCATTGTAGTATAATGGTATGGCAAACGTTGTCCGCCGTCGGCTTAGTTCCAAAAGAGTAAGTTGGTATCTCAGGGCTGGATAGAAATCTTTTCCTTCGAAGCTAGGGCCTAGTATTAACTATCTTACTTTTAAACCGAACCATATCATAGTTGTCCGTTGAACCACAGCTTAACTGAGTTTTTAGACGACCGGAGCTCTATGGTAGGACTTAACGAGGGTAAGTATCACTGACAGGAGCAATATCCTAGCCATAAACTACACCAAAACTGGTAAAAAGGCGATGAAAGGGAACTGTGTGTAAGGGATTTACAATAGTAAAAGTTAAGCTGCATCTGCCTCACTGAATACGATCTAACTTATCAAGATTATAAGGCTGAACTAACATTTTCCTCCCGCATAAACCCATTTCTCAGGAAATGTTTATTAGAAAATACGCTTTTTAAATCGCCATTGATAATAGGTCGCCGCGGGTCAAGTTAAACAGTTTGAACGTCATTTGAAACTTGGTAACCTGGCGTGTCAGTCTACAGTATCTTAAAACCTTCAGCAAAACTGGCAAGAAATACTTAACTTTGTAACTAATGTATGGAACATTCGTAAGGAGAATATTCAAAATTAGGAAATTACCGAATAATATGATAAGGATTAAATTTGCGGAAGCCAAGAAAATACTCGCAAGGAAAGCTGGAACGATTTCTCCGGTTACATGAGCGATATCAACGATAGAGATGCGCATACCATTTGACTGCACACCCATGGACAACACGGCAATCAAGAGCAATATTAGGAAATCTCCTGCCAGGATTCCCTCTAATGCTAAATTTGGAGTTTAAAATCTTTTAAGGGTGGTATCGCACCATTACTAGCTGTCAATAATTCTGTTCACTTGCCTATTTTGCTTAAACATAACATAGGTATTATGGCAGATTTCAAATAATTCACTGTGACCTAGCTGTAAAAAACTCCGTGCCTTGGTGGGATCCAAACCTTCAACAGCAAGGGGAGGCTTTAGTACAGCCAACGCTCTAACTATCTGAGCTACGAGGCCACACTGGACGACGCGAGTTTATTCACATTTTGATCAAGTATACCCACCATAACACCTATGAATTACGTGAGTCTGGTAGTCATCTGGTGGATTGTAGATGTATTACTTAGAAAATCCTGCCTGGACAGTCAGCTTACTGTATCAGCTTTGGTAGTACCAGAGGTTGCAATAAATTGGGCGGGTAAGCTTAACCCAAGTGTGATTAAACTCGCGTCTTTCGGTGGGGCCTCGTAGCTCAGATGGTTAGAGTGTTGGCTGTACTTAAGCCTCCCCTTGTTGTCTTGGGTTCGAATCCCACAGAGACACCGGGTTTTTCACAATTGGGTCAAAGAGAATTAAACATTACAGTTAAAACGTGAAAGGCTATTATGTTTGCAAAGGAGCAAGGAATGGTTCCCAAGAGTAATGCTGGGTTGGGAAAGCGCAAGTGTGAACTGCATCAGAAAGAAAGGTAAAACCTGAGAATTGGAAGCAGCTCGGAGATACGGTGCGTAGGCTGCGACTTCGCGTTTGCGATGAACACTACTCACGAAAGCGTAGGGGGCCTCTTCGTCTGTCAGCTTTGGTATCGCGGATGAAGCAGTCGACCCAGTCGGAAAATTGTTAAAAAGCGGAGACCTATTGGCGTTTGAGGCGAGCTTTGTAAAATCATTCTCACTATCTAAATTGGTCGGATGGGTATCTTTGTCCCATCTCTCTGGATTTTGATAGCCATTGACCTAATTGGGAAGGAAGTCAAAACGAGTTTTCAGTGTAAAAACTGATAGGGAAAGCATGTATAGTGGTTTTGCTTGTTTTGACCATTTTTAGTGTCACGAGCTCTTGCGTATTTTCGTGACAGTTTATTTATTCAAAGGGTTGGTCCCTCGGATTTGACCTTTCAACCGCTGACATTGCCTTAAAGTATCTGACCTGGACGATGGACAGTACGATATTTGGTTAGATTGCGGTCCGCCATTACGAAACACACGAAAGACGTCAGTACGCAGAGAAAGGATTTATGAGGTTTGCAGATAATGGTGACTCGCTTATGTCTGACGGCACTATTAAAATAAGCACACTATCATTTAGATGGCTAAATAACTACTACGGATGTAGTAGTTGCTAAGACACCTCGGCAACAAAGAAGAAGGGGATCGCGATAGTAATTTTAATTCACATGCCATTGTAAAACATTCCCCCTTGTCTTTATGGATATTTCTTTCATGCGTCATTGCTGGTCACTTTGCAAATTCCCGCGAGACGTCTTAATTGAACCCAAATGCACAGGGACGAGCATGTCCCGTAAACTAATCAGTGAAGGCTCATCCTACAGTATTGCATTTTCTAGATCGCAACCGATAGGATAGCGGGCTCGTGAACCAATGATAGAGACTTGGACTAAAGAATCAGCAATCAATAAATCCGGATTCGGTCCTGAGACTTCGAAAATCTGCGGGTGGTTGTGACTACCTGGGGAAGTCTGATAAGTCAGAAACGGTCATTTCGGTCTCTGCCGACCCCACTTTCCACATCCATACCCAAACATACAGGCGGAGGGCCCTGACATTTGAACGTCGCAGGTCATAGTTTTTAAATCAAAAGTCTACTACCCGAGCCGCAGACTACGTTTGGTCGGCTATGATCGGGAGCATTGAAAGCGCCTTAACGGTGGAGGTGTGATTCCCAGGCAAAATGTCACATTGGAAAACACTCACCGGAAGAGATTTATTTGTGTATTGACCCTTCGGAAGAGGAATTTGGTTAAGCAGCCTCTAACAGGACAATCCTATGTACAGCTCTACGGTTGAGACTCACGGTTTGCATGCACATTGTAGCTGACGCGTAGAATGGAGATAACAGAGATAAATCGCGACGAAACTGGAGTCTGTGTCGCACCCACCGCCGATACTGATGATCAACGCATCTGGCTTAATGTGGACACGTCACGGTGGGAGCTGTGCACAGAACCATCTGGTGTCTGGGAACTGCCAGTTAAATTCACTGCTCATACTCGATACACAAATGCAATACTACTGATGGACGCTCCTGCTGAGTAAAAGTCCTAGAAGCGTGCCATCCACCCGTACATTTTTTATTGCGGAATAAAACACAGGCGTAACCCCTCGTCTTGGAACTCCGGTTTTGTAGGCGATTGCATAAGGACGAGCCAGAGGTAATCGAAGAGAAATATCGAAAAAAGGGGAAACTGAAATTTCCAGGTCAGGACGACGTGCAATATCACAAAGCGATACCAAAGCCTACGTTTTGCTATATCGAATTATACACCTGGGGTCTGTGTGTCATTAAGCATTCAATTTGAATGCTTCTTACCGCATGAGAGGATCCGAAGAAACCAGTGAGTTTATCCCCCTCCCAAATCTCGCGTAACTAGTAGACGCTAAAAAACATTGGCAAGGAATCGCACGGTTTGTATAATTAATTATCTAAACAACACAAGCCTTCTGACGGCAGACCAGGGTAAGTGTGGAACTTACTCAACCAGAAACGGTTTGTCGCGGGACATTCGAGCCACCCCCTCAAACTAGAATCAGAAATATATGAACCATACACCTTCGTTTTCCATTAACTCCCGACTTGCGGAGTAAATTCGTTAACATTCGGAACTTTAGGATGAACCTGCTGAACTACATGCGTGACCTACTTTTAAAGTTGTCTCCGTCACCAGTTCACAGTTCACTATGACGAAACAACAGCCATGAACACCTAACCAAAAACAGTGCGTTGGGCAATAAACGTACTTGAGACTCAGTCTCGGAGACAAACTTTGAGATGTTAATGTTTGAACAAGATATAGAACCTCGCAGATACTGCTAATACATGCCGAAATCTTCTCTGAACATATTTAATGAACAGATAAACGCAATATTCCCTACTTCATTTCTAGACGGTGGTCACCTCTATAGAAGACATCGTCCTCGTGGAAGAAACATGTCACGCGCTAAGCTCTTTCGCTGAAACTTGAGATGATTGGCCTGTATGTTGAGACTTCTGCAATCATTTAAATAGAGTAAATTTCAGATAAATGCTCAACAAATTACTTTTCCCAGAGGTTAGGAGGAGAAACAGATGGTGTATTCGTATACGAGTCGAATTTACCTATTAGAGTTAACGTTCTACTTGAGTCTACTAAGGCTGAAATGCTACTTTTCATTTCAAACAGATAATTAAGTGGTCTAACGGTCGCAAGTTCAGTCAAGTAGCCAGGAACAGGTCACCCTTATCAGCCAGCCGTGAGAACTGGCGAGCCCGACAGGTCAAGGCCTGACTGTACGGTGGCGGAGGAAGACAGCAACAGGTTTGAAGCAGGTCGAAAAATTGGTTCTAGTGGAAAATATTGCGTCAGATGAGTAGTACTCATCATTTCCTAGTACACGACTGCATTGCCGTGAAAAACGTCACTTGGAGGTACTGTCCTACTGAACCAGCGTAAAAACCAACAACCCAGGTCTATCATCAGAAAACAGAAAGGACGGTCGTGCCAACATCTGCGACCACGCGTGCGATACATCAAAATTACCAACGACGAGGAGAATTGACAGACACCAGAGATCCTCCCAAAAGACGTAAAAGAGAATGAAGGGCTCACAGGTAATGGCCTGCCATTGGAACTGGCAGAGGAATGCTGAAAGACTGAGCAAAGTAAATTTCAAAGCGACGGATGGTTGCTTATCTCGGTGGAAAATGGAACGCCGTATAAATAAAAGGCGCACGGCGGGATGGATGGCGTAATCCTAAATACTAACCAGTATGAATTAATGAAGTTTCGAGAATTATTGCAAAATTTTGAAGTTGATTACATCGATGTTGCAGATGAAGCAAGATGATTCTTTTATCTGGCAATATTTATCAGCAGTTTTTTCTCCTTGGTACAGCATCGTTAGTGCAACTAATGGCCAGTCCGAAGATATCACAAATGACATCCCCAAAACAGCTGAGGAAGACCTGCAATGTTTCTTAATTGTCTGCGAAAATAGAAGCGGCAAAACACTTCTCGACCGTTCAGACTAATGTGTACTTAGAATTTTCGAACTGAAGTCATCGTATGCCATTGATAATGAAGTAGTTGTGGATTTTTATCTATGACACACCAAAGGTCATGACGAGAATTCATCTTCCTTGTCAAGAGAATCTTAATACTTGGGAGACCGGACGCACTCAGCAAGTCGTAACAAGCCTCTCAATGTTGCCAGAAAATCGAAAATGCAGTAAGGATGATAGCCCCACATCAAGCAATTAATGACGATGCGGAGAACGTTATGTTCGGATAACGATAACAGTTATTACAAGGCGACACGACGACGGCTCTTTTGGCGAATTAGATATACGCGGGTGTTTTGTTCGGCAGCAGTCTCTGAAGAAAATTCAATTTATACCACGCAGTCTTCCCAAAGTAAAAGTGAGCGAAGCATAATACCGTAGAATTAAAATTATTTTCAGCGAAAATCACTAATAATTCAATCGTTTAAATAAATTTGAGTTTTTCGGCAAGGATGCGATGAGGACTTGCCATGGGCAGTGAATTTATTTACTAATTTGTTTTTTCTCCCAAAACCACAATTATGACTCACTTGTTGTGTGAACAAGACAGACCTCTTCCTAACCGGCAACACAGTTTCTAATTCAGTGTTGTCAAGATAAACCGTCGCATAACCGCCAACTCCATGGGAACTCTCTTGTTCGGGAAAGCCTTTTGAGGAAACTGGCTTGCCGTTGGGAACTTCACTAGTGCGGTCGATTTGTACATCGCCGTTCACCGAGCGCTGTTGAGCAAACGTGGGTACGAGAAATCGCTGTTTGGCCGAGAGCGTAGGACAAGTGCGATTGGCGTACACAGACAAGTATGAATTTGCAGAGACACTGTCGGGTAATTGCACAGGTGTTGATTGTTTCTTGGAGGCCAGACGATGCGCGGCCGCAACCGACTCCTTTGAACTCAATCCAGATCCCATCTAGGAAGATTTATTGTAAAATATGCGGATAGATCAACAATCTCCTTGCTAGCATTTTATGATAAACGTCTGTAGGACAACGAAAATATACTAGTAAAGTAAACAGACGCGACTCGTGACAGCATTATCTCCCAAGTCTTGGTCCACTTAACAATTCGATGGAGATACTCGTTGGATAATCAACTCCAACTTATATTCAGAATTTGTAAAATAAGGAAGGAACGAAGAAATTGCATGCGTTTCGCCACACAAAAGAGAAGGTTTATGTTGTTTTAATGACGATTCACTGCTAAAATAACATGCCGTTGCACAGTTGGAATAAAATTCTTAAATTAACCATTAGCACAGACCTGAAGGGTTGATAATGCCGGGAAATTGGCAGAGTACACAGAATTCATTTATTTTCGGGGAGAAATATCAGGTCAAACTTTCAAAAACCCTTTAATATTTTTACCAAAATCGAAGTCGTAAGAAAGTGTTGCTTAGGTGGGCAATCAAAAACGTTTGCTACATTGGCCGAGTCTTGTTTTACATACGAATACTTCGCCTTATATGAGACCGATTTGTTCTTAGGATTATATGCCGCTCGATTTGTCAGATTGAATTAATGGAACCTCAGGGGTAGCCGTTTGTTGCGCGTGATTTTAGGGAATGTTTGAGCTTGAATCAACTGGCTGCTGGAGTTTTGTTCTAAGTTTCTCTTTTTTGGTAGGATGGGGGAAAAGGGTCATATGCGTCGGTTTTCTAAAACCCTTCTACCACTTGTGGCATATTCGTCTGGCGGCAGACGAGGACGGCAAGAAGTGGCGTCCGGCCAAAGTTTTCTCACTTATTTAACAGTTTTTCAGAAGTCACCGAGTTGGCTTTGTTTTAAGAATGTTAATCATGTCCTTGTCAAGTAAGTTCTAAATAAGTCGTGCGAAACTTCGCTTTGGTACGGCCTAAACACAGCCTTCTCAAGATTTGGAGGACAACCGTAATCAAAAAGTTCAAGGAAGTCAACAGGTCATTTATCCCTTGCTGCTGATGTTTACTTTGTAGACGTGAATAAAGTCGCGGTATCAAATGACACTAGCTTCTGGACTGACTCCATTCTAATTTCACTGAATCTGTTTAGAAGGAGCATACTTAAAGTGATCGCTATGAACCAAGCCAATGCCAGGGATTTCATTTTTCAGAATAGATGACTCACTGAAAATGTAAAAACTTTCCTAAGTCCCAACACCTTTAATTTCAACCCACTGATTTCTTCGTATCAGTTCTACTTTAATTTGTTTCCGTTGTGCCCATTTAGGTAGTCAAGGAAATGTTTTCACAATCTGTCATCCTGCGTTTCATAGCCTAGCAATTCTTATTTTACAGTAATGTAGCTCTGTTTGTAGTGCGGATTACTCTTCTCAGAATCGTCTGAAAATCTTTTATAAAGGCCATCGTTGACATTCCTGGTTAATATATTCCACTTAATAGGCTTACCTTTACAAAGTGTTTAAAGCATCGAATGCTGCGAAGTTAACCCTCAAAGGATGGATGGGTATATATTTCCACAGTAGAACTAACTTCCTCTAAAATAACAATTACATGATGCGGTTCAGTGAAGAATAGTTTTGCTCGGTCTCAGAGGTCAAAGGTGGGCTTATCCATCTACATCCCGTCACACCAACTCTAGGCTTGAGGACCGCGCGCAACATTTACCATGTCATTATACCGCTACGGTTTGTGACCTTCGCCCAAGTAGCCGGGTCGTCAAATTGGGTCGCGCTTGAAGGGGTTGACGCAAAATGTCAACGACTGCATATTAATCACTAGACACGAGAATTTGCTCATTGCGAACTTAGGCTAACAGGCACGCCGCTCTTTGCTGGAGTACCTGCTAGCTCAGTGGTACTACATCGGGAGCAGTATCAGAAGGCCCGCAGTTCACATCCGTCCGACAACCTACATTTTTTGACTGCAAATCCCCTATTTCGTCTAGTCTGACATTGTTACTGTTCTAATAGCTTTGGGAAGTACATACATAATATGCTTTAGTAATACAGAAATGCAGACCCTGGACAAATTGGTTGATTTTGACTCAAGAGTCTCCGATATTGTTGTGGCTAGATTCGGAGATAATTTTCGCGTGGGTGTGGAGACAGTCGAAGTTCCGTTTGAACAGACAACCGACTGACACCTTGAAATCGATTGCGAACGGACTGACTTCGCTGTCGGCATGTTAGGATGTGCGTTTACCAATTCTTCCCGCGGACGTGGACCACTGTTAGCTTCGAAAGGTAAGAGAAAACACATGAATTTTTAGAGGAAGAGGATCAGAGTTTTGTCGAACGCAGTGGATCCATCTCGAATTTCACACACATAAGCGATTACTTCGGCGAAAATAAAAAAAGAAAAGTTAGATCTCATATAGGGCCACTTTATTCCTTTCCGTTGGTCATTTCTCGTTGCTAGGCGGATGCCAATAGTTTCGTATCTTGTAAACAAGTCAAATAACAAAGTGATAAATGAAGTTTACTTTTGTACTTTCCTAAGAGAAGAATCAACAATTGAGGTGCTTACAGGGCAAAAAAATATTTTCAATCAATACTGACTCAACTTATGTCTGGAAATTGACCTCTAATTTGATCTGAGTTTTCATAATTACAGATAAGACTTAACTTATGAATGCAGTATTTGGGAAACATTAGTATGAAGAAGACTTCAAAAATAAATATCAAAAAAAACATAAGTCAGAGCAAGTTGTGGTTGTTATATGAAGCAGGATAAAAGACTACGAAAAATGTAGTCGAGAGGTTACACTCCAAGGCTTGTTTCGAAACAATGGCTAGAATCTACTACTTGAGGGTATTCGCTTAGAAACAAAAACGACGATCCATTTTAACCAAAATTCCGAAATGGGAATTTAGAATTTGACAGCATCCGGCAGAATTCTTATTAGGAATCCTGGAGTAAATAAACAACATAAGTTAAATAAAACTGATTCATCGCTTTAATTTGTTTTGAAATGCTCCTGGTTTTTCCAATACATTATCGGCCATCAGATGAAAATGCAAAATATATTAAAAGGGATTTGCTAACCGTGTACTAGGAACCGGGCTGGCTTACTCGCGAATACAAATTGGACATACTGAATGGCGGGTTCGGTACACATAAAGCTTAAACTTAGGTTATTTACTCCCCAAATGTTTGAAACTCATAGCTGCGTCTGTCGCCTGGAGTTAAGCGTGCTGATATTGAGTGGGCGTGCGCCTATCGATTTTCCCTCTTTCCGGGGTGAAGTACAGGCTTGCACTTTTGCCCGTTAGTACAGGTGGACAGGCTTGCATTAATGCTGACCCAGCTTTTGAAACGGGACTGAAAACTACATCTACCCTTAGGCCCTGTTTGACAGGCATGATGGACACTTGACATAGTTGGATATTACCAATCCAATAAGACAGTATTGAAGATGTTCGATCATTTTCGCAACAGGAAAGTGTTAATAGACTCTTAAAATACTTATACATTTCTAGGCATGGAAGGAAGCCGTCCAACGAGTGTTTTAAGTTTATATTTTTGTTTATATTTTGATTTCATTTTGTTCATATCTTTGTACAGCCGCACACTTTAAACTCTAAGTGTGTATTCATCAACGACATGTAATCTCGTCCAGCCCAAATCCTAAGCAATAAGAACTACTTAAAAATCCTGTTGGTGAATTTAAAGTGACCGCTATATGCAAAAAATTGCAACAACCAAACGCAAGTTTTATTACATTTTTAAGAAGAGCTATGCTATTAAAATTCACTGTTTAACACTCTACACAAATTACCTAACGCTATTTGGATCACCGACTTTTGCTCTGCGCTTAGTGGCGTCGTAGGGGCCAAAGAAATTGTTGCACCATAACCACCACAGTAAGGGCCAATTCCAAATTATCAGGAGAAAATAAGAGACAGAAAAGTTTTGATTTTGCACTGAAACTAAACTGTTTTCTTCTTCTGTCCGCTGTACATCTAGGCCGTGCGCTGAGTGTTAAAATATCTCCGATAATATGACACAGCCCGGTTGATTTAGTGGCTTGTGGGAGCTATGGGAAACATCCCTGTGGTCAGCTGGTGGGCTTTGTTTTTTCGAGGGTGTTTGCCGCCTTGTGTTCAAGTTGGCCCTGTAGGAAAGTCTTCTGACGGGCCGGTATGCCAGACGATGTGCAGACATTATGTGACGGTAGCGTTCGCAATAAAAAGGACCGATCAATAATTTGAAAAATTCTACTGGCAGACAAGAATGTATATGAAGCTAAAGAGCTTTCCGTTTTGTACTACTTCAGTCCGCTTGGTCAGATAAAACTGTTGCCGTCGCAACACCTAAAGGTAGCCTTAGAATGCAAGGTTTAGCAACCACTGCCGTCAAAAACGTCGTCTGTGATTTTTTACCACAGGTACAGATTAGACAAGTCCGTTGATGGTGAAAAAGTGCCTCAACCAAGCTAAAAGAATAGACAGTAAATGAGGCAATATGTTGCCCTCCGCTGCAACCTGTAGCGTGGTTAATAAAACATAAAAATTCGTATTCCTGCATATATGGCATAGAAGATAACGCAGCATGCATTCGCGTTGCACAAGTTTAAATACCACACCCAAAAAATATTGTTTACGAAGGGGAAGCACGCATGTATTTGCAAATTTGATAGTTGTACACAAGCAATCAGAAGAGTGGTCTTTTATTTTGCTACCTGGGTTGGTTTCTTCTATGAACAAAAATACTTCTTATGTATTTAATTTTGTGGTACTGTTTAGTCTTAAGGTCGTTTACCCAGACAATTAAAAGGGAAATTGGGAATGAGCGTTTGGATCCAGAACCAAATGAACTACTTCGTCTTTGCACACGTGTTAAAATATAACCACTTTTGACAGCAAAAAATAGAAAGTGCCTTTAGAATCTCCCGTTAACTTTTCAGTGAATTTCTGTCGATTAAAGATACCTTCTCACAAGAAAAGGCTTTGACCGGTCCTCAAATTACGGCTCGCGGAGCCTGCATTTCAGGTATGGTTGGCCGATGACGGCGAATAAGCCGGAAATCGTCGTTCTAGCCCTTTCTGCCTTTCCCCAAAACTGTTCCATATTGGACTGACGAAAACCGACGCCAGTTTTACAAAAGACCGGATTGTCGACTTTCACTGCTTTCTTTAGTAAGAAAAACCATTTCTCACATAGCATCACTGTGTGCATTTATCTTGAGGAAAAATCAGTTAAATAGGTACTGACAGTTCCGTCAGTAAAAGTAAAGTGACATATTATCTCAAACGAGAGTCCTCTACGCGTACTCGTATATCAACTTGCCACAAAGCCCTCATCTTTTTGAATATATAAAGACCCCTTAAAACTTATTACTACATCTTATTACACTCTCATATGGAAAGATCACTCCCAAGGGAATGCTGTACTTATAAGTGCGAGGCATTATTGAGGGTCAGGGCATATGTAATGACCGTCCATCCTCAACCTAAAAGCTTTTAGTCTTGTGCATTATTATTGCTTGACGGCGAACCCAAAGATGGGCTGTTTATACTTTTACACAGATTTGGTCTCCAGTAACGTTTGTACCAGTATGGTCACTAATTGGTCTAAGGAAAATATAAGGAGTGTTAATATCGAATAAGTAGTTTGCAGAAACTAACAGCGTTTTAAAACACTACGTGAGGGAATTGGGTACTGGAAGTTCAAAAAACAAAGTATTTTAAAGTTATGAAGAAAACGGTTCACCAACCATTTGATGTGCTCTCACGACATGATAGTATTATGATGCTCTAAGAAAACTGGAAAATATTGCATAGTTCTGAAGCAGGCCTAACACATCGGAGAATATAAGGCTCCACCCATATTCAGGCTGAAGTTTCTAAACCTTTTGTAATGGCAACAAGACAAAGGTCCAAAAACAGAAAAATTATGCCTCCTTCCATTCAAAACAAGGTTGGAGACAAATTAGCAGACATAAATCTTACAGATGGCAATCAATTCTGAATTAGTCCATGAGGGGTATTCGCTCGCATCCTGCCTGAAGGCATACGAGCCTATTTTCTCTTGGCCGATGGCTCCCTCGACCTTGGAAATCGTGGAGTTCCGTTTCTGTTCGTCCGAACCACTGATTTGGACGAAGTTTGTGGAGAACGGAGACGTCTTTGACTGATACAAAACATGAAGGATCGGACCAAATTACAGTTTTGGCGTTTTGCAAAAAATAAAAAGACAAAACTTCGAGGTTACTGCATTAAACGACGAATTCTGTGGCACTATTATAAGTCCAGTTTAGTAGAGGATAATTTTGCCCAGCATTTTGTGCAATGGCCTTTGAGAAAACCGGTGCGTGAAATGTAGTCAGTATTAAAAACTTTCGCATGCATGACCATGTAGATATTTTTCCAAACTAGTTTTTCTCCTTGAAAACCTAGATTGCTGTTGAAAATCAGAAAATAAGCACCTTAAATACAATGTCGACCGGTTTTTCTTTAACCCCTAAGACCGATAACGAGCACAATGTTTCCTTTTTTTAGAAGCTTTAAACCTCGCAATTTGAAAACTCTTTTGAAGCTCCTATTTTTGACTGTCTTAACCAGTTATACGTGTTTTTTTGTTAAGACGCTCATATGTAGAACTCATGACAGTTGAAGATATCCAAACCCCAACAAAATCGAGAAAGTTGAACGAAGACCGGAATTACTCACGCGTAGACAAACGTTAAAGCGCCAGAGAGCTTAGGAAAATACAAGAGCTATCTTGAACATATTTGTTAGCATGCTGACACCGAAACAGCTCAATCGGCGGTTTACTGTCAAAATGCAGTCCGCAGGGAAATTCTGAATTCTTTCCTTACAATAAAACATGAGAGGACACTGGAGCACTGGCGGACCATGATTCGAGGTGTTTTCTAACGGTCAATAATTTACGCATGCGGAGGGCGTTTGAATTTTAACGCCAAAATCCTATATGGAAGCAGATTAATACCTAATTATAAGAACAACTTGTGAGGACATCTTCCTTATTCGTCTCTGACAAATACTCAGAACGGTCGACATACGCCATTAAGTTCTCCTTCGACGTTGTACAGTTTGCAATTGGTCGTCGCATAATTCTCAGCATTCAACTTGGCGTACCTTTATTCTTCTACGTCACTGAAATAATATGAAGTCCACGTTTCTATGGCTATTCTTGCTCAGTAAAAGGCATGATTATTTAAAAGCATGACGAGGATCGCACAAGTAAGCATTACGTCCGAAAGCACTGGCCCGGTTTCTAATTACAAATGTCAGGGAAAAGATATAAGTTGGTTGAAAGCAATTTTACTGTACTTTTTATTGGTGTATAAACGTAGGGAAAGAAAAATATACTGTCTCGCATTTGCTTGATGACGATTTTTTTCTTTACACAGAGAACCTGGCGAAATACCCTAAAGTCTCACAATGCGAAAAGGTATTTTATCAGACTGGGCATTAATTCTTTAACTTTGGCGATAGGACATCTCAGGCATCAATGGGTAGTCAGGGGTGGGGCCCATAAGAGAAAGACCGCTCGGCGATTGGGTAAATGCTGGCACGATCGTTGACTGAACGAATGGACAGTCTGCTATTGCTGCGCTTCAGTTGGCGCTGATTTGGCCATGTTGGACGTTGGAAAACTTTGAAACTTGAAACAGAGGACTATAAAAAAACAGACGGTAGGTTGGGAAACATGACGCAGTCTTACACTGTTCTCGTCCTTTTGAATTGCTTCCTTCTCAGTCCACATTGCACTCACGTCTCTAGATTGACCTGAGAAATAGTCGCTCGTTGCTGAAGGGAGGTGTTTTTCGCTGTTATTATGTTGCGGTTGAGTATTTTTGTAGTGGGGACTCTTCTCACGATTCTGCTCGACATGCGGATATGACGCAGCATTCTGGATCGGTGTTCTGCCCATGCATACCTCAATTGGCTGCGAAGACAATAACCTGGAACTGAAAGGGTAAGACGGATTAGTTGGCTCCATAATCGATCACTAAGAGCACAGTTGGATCCAGATAAGTTATAGTAAAATCGTCAGGAAAATTTATAGTGTTTCTGGACATATTTAATTGCGGCCGGTGTGTTTAGCATAAGTTTTACTATTGTATGAAGTAAACATGAGTCTTGGCTTAGCGCCCGCGGCCAGGGCCTGCCCATCGGTCGGAAATAAGAAAGACTCAGCCCAAAAGAGCCTCCGTTGCACTTAAGGTTATTTGCGAAGTGTGTGCTTGATAGTAATAAGGGATAATTGTCTAGATCCAACAATAACTAAGTGTTACTGAAAAACGGCAGCCGGAGCGCTCAGTCCAGACTCATGTGTCGTCGTCAGTTAAACAAACTCTATCTACTGTTAAGGAAGAAACGGGGCCTGAACCCAAATTACTTGTAAATAGAGCGTTTAGGCCAAACACTACTATTAAACCATGGAATCTAGTCATGCCAGCGGCGATCGGGAATATCCAGCAACAAATGACAGGTAGTTCTAACGATTTGCTTTGACTGTGAAACGGAGTAGATGGGACGCCGTCTTTTTCGGGTTACAGGCGGTCCTGGGACCAACAACCTCCCATTTGCGATTCAAAATAAGGCTTAGTAAAAACAAAAGATTGCTTATTAGTTTTCGTTTTGTGATGACTGCGAATCTATGCAGACTAGACCTCTAGGATAAAATGGAATGGATCAAGTGTCGTCTCCCAATAACGAAAGATTCTTGAAAGTCGTTCCAATAAGCTTCACCTATTGTCTCACATTTATTTTATTCCAATATAAAAACGAGGCAAACGTGTGTGCGTTGACTGACTGCAGATTCGCCCCGTTACACTTTACTAATGAGGTGCTTTCGTGCTATATTATGGTGACCCTTGGCTGGCTTTGTTAACATTGGAATTAATTCTGCTACATTTTCTCCTTTTATTATATATATGCTCATTCTGTTCAGATGGCAAGGTGAATTTCAAACGACTTGCCATCAGAATGGACGCTGTGGCGAAAGAAACCCTCCACCTGTCTACGTATCTAACCCGAACCGGTTCTCCGTTCAAAATGCGACAGGTCGCATAGAGTTCCAAATTGCACATTAGTGTATTGTCATGAGCGTCTTATTATTGAGTCTTTACAGCTTGACTAAAAGTCTTGCGTGACAATAAGTTATACAATCAATTAACAACATTCTGAATCACGATGTTCTGCTCGTCGGGATAGTTAAAATCACATCCAATACTTCACGACGAGGAATTAGGATTTGGATCTGGGTTGGATATAGCTAACGCCTTTTATTCCATCCATCGAGCCCCAGAGACTGAAAATGATAGCGAGCGCACGTGATGATGTGACGCGAAGTTTCCACCCAAAACCAATCACGTATCGTACGCAATACTCACTAGTCCCTACATCGACAGGAAAGCTATTCACATAATTAAGTTCGTGGCCTAAATATTTACCATTACGGGTACATAACGAACGGAAGTTTACAAGTTAACCAGAAATCCTGAAGATTATGACGTACTGCTAGTTGATACAGGCATACACAGCAGAATTCCTTTGAGCCAACAAATTTCGCAACAGCATATCAACTGCAACCTGTCGCTGCATTACAAGGATAACGTATGAGAAATGTAAAACGATTACATTTCCATGGAAAAAATCAATGCAAAACAACAAAGCTATCTTAGGGCGCACAGACTAATCAATGAAAGTGATAACTTAGAAACATAATTTGGGAAAGAAATTGAGGAAGTTAACGCACAGAGGGAGTACGCAAATCAAAGGGCCGAGATTTATCGGGGCAAGCTGAGGTTGACCACTTGGTCCAACTGTTTGCATAGGTCGAATTTCTGCCACCGTATGTAGGCTACCTCCAAGTGGCACAATTTTCGAGTTGTTCGTGCTTGAACTAGTACTCAGAAGATGGTTTCTGAGTCAACGGAGTGACCACTGTCTAGGTGCTTTCTGGTATTATCTCGGGTGAAAGACGGGGTTCAGACGCATGGGCGCATATGATATGTATTGTGTCATCAAGTGGCATATTTGTAAAAAAGTAATTCTACGTCCGAGGAGATCATGAATTTGGTGGAGAAGTTTTGATAATTGATTTCTTCAATAAACTGAAAACTGCGTTCTTTCGTGTAAGTCGAAAATCAGTGTCGGGTTATTTCTAATTCGTTGATGAGCCACTGTCCTCGACGGTGTTGGGGGTAAATAAGACAAAGACAGAATTTCTCGTAGGATGATGTCCTTTTTATGCGTTTTTGGCAATCCATGTAGTCCGGAAATACATTTGCCCCCTCGGTTTTAGGGATTGCGCGGTTTTAGCACCACTCGGATTTTTGTCCAGTAAATTGGCCTTAAAACATCCCTTTGAGTACTAGTTCAAGCACGAACAACTCGAACACTGTGCCACTTGGAGGTAGCCTACATACGGTGGCAGAAATTCGACCTATGCAAACAGTTGGACCAAGTGGTCAACATCAGCTTGCCCCGATAAATCTCGGCCCTTTGATTTGCGTACTCCCTCTGTGCGTTTACTTCCTCACTTTCTTTCCCAAATTATGTTTCTAAGTTATCACTTTCATTGATTAGTCTGTGCGCCCTAAGATGGCTTTGTCGTTTTGCATTGATTTTTTCCATGGAATTGTAATCGTTTTACATTTCTCATACGTTATCCTTGTAATGCAGCGACAGGTTGCAGTTGATATGCTGTCGCGAAATTTGTTGGCTCAAGTGAATTCTGCTGTGTATGCCTGCTTAAAATTCAAACCGGGAACCAGTCTCAAAATTTACGCATAAAAGTTTATTCTCCTTCCAAAGAATCTTACTTATTTTTAATCAAATTTCTTAGAATGCGCGTTTTCTAACATATACCGGGATAAGTATTGCTTCAAATACTGCCATTTGTCGAATTCTTAAGTGACGGCTTTAAGTGGTCCGCGGTAGTGTTAGTTTGCGTAGGATTTATCAGTATAAGCAAAGGCACCAAAGTATCAATCGATAGTTCTCTCAGCTCTCTCATGGTGCAGGGATCTGTTTGAACTGACAGCGGGCACTGCGATTGACGATGAATTCCGTATCATGCATATTCCTCTTCCTAAATACACCCGAATTACTCTTTACTTGGACGCATAGGAGAAAATAGAGTGGTTTTTGCGCATTAACGCAACCGGTTTTTCTGGTCCAAGTTCCGGAATGTATGGATACCAATGCAGTCAGATGGCGCCGTCGGCGTGTCAAGCAAAGCATCCGTTCGGTGCTTAGGGTGAGAGAATTAACAAATGCTCGACAATCGACGTTACAAGAACAATTGATCAAAACGTTTATGTTGACTCGACCGTGAAGAACTTGACATCTCAGTAGAATTTGAGCCAGCATCAACAAGGTGAAGGCTGCTGTGGGTCCAAATCCCACCGAGGCGCCGAGTTATTCATAGTTGGGCCTATTTGAATTGTTTAAAACCTGCCAAACATATTGTAGCAGTACTTAGTCAATGTCAGAAGAAGCCCGCGTTTCGCGCGATAAGCCCAAAATATGCTCCAACCCTCAGCCTAGTCAAGAGCCTTGTCTGCGCATACGCGACCTCGTTAAGTTGATCCTGCCTCAAATCGTGTGCACTTACCGTGGAGAAATATCAAAAATATTTCCATTCTGATGTAAATCACGTCTAATCCAGCGGTATAGGATGGTGAGATCAGGTTTCCTGAGGTCTCCTTTTAGTTAAGGATGGAAATTGTTTCAAGTCTCAACTGTACATCTAAAGGTTTCCCTTACCATCGACGCGGATAGAATGGGTTTTATGGCCGACAAGATATCTCCTCCTCAGTATGCAAGTGATCAAAAATATAAGCTTGCAGATCAGAAAAGCCAAGAATCAGGTTGGTGACGACGACTTGTCTCGTAGGTGCACTACCCTTCATATCCAGTTTCGGCTATTCATATTTAAGAGGAAAACTTCAGGCCTTTTCTAAATTCAATATCGCCGTGACTAGTAAAATTTAGACTGAGCGATATTCCACAAGCCCCAAGAGGTAGACGTGGTGGCCAAGGAATCCATTATTGGGTGGCACCGTACTAGAAAGCTTAAGAGTGGTAGGGACGAGAAAATCTGCGCAGGCCAGACAAGTTACCGGCAACGGCAGGGTAAAGGACCTCCTCTTAACTGTTGGTAGACTGTGGATCGTGCTATGCAAAAATGGTTGTAATGAGGGTTTTACGGGTGAGTCAGCATGCCAAACAGTAAGCTGACAAAAGCAACACAGAAATTGGTTGGATCTCTACCGAAATGTTTGTCGTAAGCTATCGTATGTCAGTGGAAGTAGGTGTTCAAAAGACAATTTGGCCAGCATACGTAAGCTTTCGATAAATTCTCATCAGGCCTATAAATTTATATTGCTATCGAAATAAAGTGTGTTAATTAAAGAGTAAACAGAAAGCAAGTTTCCAAAAAATAACGGAGTTTTAGTTAGTGTCTGAGATCACAGGAATTAATTGTTGTTGGAAGCATAATATCTGTAAGGGTCTACAAATGGATGCCAATAAAACACCCATGTGAAATGATCCACAGTCAAACGAGAGTTGAATGGGGTTTCTCACCCTTCTGTTGCCAAGGTTAATAGCTTACCTTGGTGCGCTCCTTGTAAACCATCTAATAGTTCTAGTTACGTTTGGTAATTCACAAACTGTGACGTATGACAGAAAACAAATCACGTAATTTCTCATTTGTCGTGTATAGACATTCGCATAGCGAATCTAGCATTGCCGAAGCCGCATCAGACAATGTTTATGTGTCTATGTTTTCACCTCTTCAATTGGAGCGAGGTACAACGTTGGGACAATCTGACGCATTTACAGGAGAAAACTAAAACACATTCCAGTTTACATAGAGAGAAGCGGCAAGCCTTGAAGGGAGTCTAGTGGTTGCGAATTTTTGTTCATAATCACTTAATTAACACAGGAAAGACAACAATCAAGTTCGCAAACCCCGTTTACGCTTTAGACTTGTATCATCTGCTCATCGCAACCTGTAGTCCCGGCCTCCCTCTAACTTTCTCCTGGTCACAATTTTGTTGGGAATTATGGGATGTGAAGGCAAGCCTAGCGGCGGCTCCAGTCGCGCCAGCCGTCGTTTTTGTTGCTGCTGGTTAGAGTCCTGGTCAAGCACTTGTTGTGGACCAAAGGGTGGAGTGGCACGCCTGGGTGCGGGTCTGGCCGCGCCAGCCACACGCGCTAGCCACGCGCGCCCTCTCGTGCCTCTGGTCTTCCTGACTTTGTCTTAGTATCAGGCCCAGGTGGAGAAGGAGAGAGTGCGGTGGATGCGGCGTAAGTTTACTATCATTATTAAAGAAATCACGCGTAAATCGCCGTGCCCACTCTCGCCCTGCTGTGGAACACATGACAGACATCGTCGGTCACGACGGCCGAGCTGTCACTCAGCAAGTTTTACGAAGACACTAACTCCTTACTCTAGTAAGAAACCAAACGTCCTCTTTTAACTATAAGCTTTTGCCTTTTATGAAGGAATCACGTTTTGTGATGATGCATTTGCGCAAATGTATTGATCGATTGCGAGTTACTTAAAATTCTAACGCGCCAATGCGCATTATGGCACTAACTTGATAGATTCGCAGAGTTAAAAGTCATTCTTATCTGAAGACTTAATGGAGAAATAAAAACCAAGCCATAACCTTGTAAAAATTAAGGTTCTGGGGTAGTTCAGTCAGGTCTCTGTAAAATGCGCTCAATTTTAGCAAAAATAGGTGTTGGACTTGAACTGTCCATGGAGACTTATTCCTACTTGCTTGTTCACGTTATGCTCCTGCAGTGAAACGGGGTTCCACCTGAAACATTGTTTGCCAAGACTTTAAACTTGCCAGTAATTGAATTCTTCCTGAAGAATGCTCTTTGGAGATCATTAATTCATCTGCCCCACCGACTGGAGAAACTGAAAAGATTGCCTATCAGATCTAATCAGGTTAACCCCTTGCCTGACCTTCTAAACACTTTGGAAGATAGAATCCAACTGTGGATGTTGTAAATGAAAAATATGGTTAATTAACAACTAAGGCTACCTCTTTCTTTCATTCGGTGGAGAAGAAGGTGTCACAGGGAGATTTCTTCCGTCTAGACGTACAGGTTGCTTCGCAGCAGCAGGTTTGGCTACGTCCGTGCTCACACTGCTTAAGACCGTAGTCTGGCGTTTAAAAGAGTCGGTCCTAGGAAGCGAATTGTCAAAGGAGGGCGTCCGAGATTGACGTTTTGGCCTGCGTGATTTTTCAGGAGCCTTTTTTTCACCAATTAACTAGAGACGTTACATTAAAAGAACAGGGAGCATAATTAGCAGATGGAAAAACATTTGTACCCAGAAAAATTAAAATAACGTTGACAAGTTGTCTGATTTAACGGTTACCGATACTTAACGGAAGAATGTACGGTGATAAGTTTGTAAAGCGGGTCTGACTACACAGGTGTGTGCGGTAGGTTACCTGTCTGCGTCAAGGCTGGCGAAATACTAAAATGTGTTTACGATCAGGGAGGATTACTGAAGTGTGGTTTTAATACTGACTGTTATTTAGCATAGTCCAAAATATTTGATTTGTGTAAATATATCCCCTTTAAATGCGCATCTTTTCGGCCGCCTGCAAAAACCACATGATAAAATGACAACATGAGTAGTATGACCTTTTCAACAAATTTTTGACGTTCTTATAAATTCAAATATTTTTTACAGAAAAATGCACAAGAATGTCGTTCATCGGTTTCACTCAGCAACAAATCACGTCTTTAGATTATACTTTCGAAAAAGGACATCTCTTAGTCTCAGAAATGTTTTTTTCCAAATCCCAAGTTTTCTTGCACGCGATCTGTCACTGCATTTGCGTCTAGCGCTTACGATTTACAAGCTGTTTACTCTACATGCGAAGAAAGTCCCACATTCTTCTACGCTTCTAAGAAAATACTACATGAGGCTTATAAATTCTTACAATGAATGTATAAAATATTGCATACTTTAAAGGAGTAGAATTAGATGGACGGCTTCAACATTATCTGAATGGATATTTTGTGGTTTCAAAAAATCTTTCATTTACAAACCTTTTTAAAACCGAAAGACACACTTTAGTTAAACATAAAATATAAAGGTGTGACTCGCCGAAGAATAAATGCAGGAAAGAATAAAGAATAGAAAGAAAGTGCAAAGGAAGAAGAAAGAAGTTGCACGGAAGACCACAGTAAAGGACCACCAGGATCCGAAAAGTAAGGTGCCAGACTCGACAGAAGAGCAGTTGGAAACACGACATGAAATTGATAAAGATTTAACTACGAAAGGGGCAAGAGTAGACGACGCTTGACCAAGACAGTCCACAGACAGCATGCGCATTTCCGGAGCATAACGCACCAAAGCAAAAACAGGGTGGCAAATCCAAAGTGTAATAAGCCGCCATAAGAATTTCCGTATCAACAGAGCAGAAACCCGGGTACGGGAAGTCCCAAGCTCGGCAATGTCAACTACTCCACAGAGCCCTCTGGGTAGGAGCAGCGTAAAACAATCACAATGCATAAACATCCATGTCTTAGAAGGAACCACAGACGAACTGAGCGGGTGAAAATGCACCGAAAGCACAGCCTACTATGACAGAACAGCAGAATCAGCCACCGGTAAGAAATCAGCAGAAAATAGAGTAATGCTCGAAAGGGTCAGTACAATCCTAAATCAGGGCCTTTCGGAGTCCTTGCCTATACCTTCGAGGAAAGATTGGCTGCAGACTTAGAGCGTTTCATGAGGTCCGCAGCACAATGCTGCAAGCGTGGGAAAAACCACCACCCTAAAAGCTTTCCTTCTTGGAAACCGTTCAAAGGTCACTCTACAGACACGACCACGGCCCCCTAAAATCGTCCTAAGCAGCAAGGAACAGGTGAAACTTTTCACTTCGAGGCGTCTTCGATAAAGCATTTTTTAAACTTGCTTTCTAGCCGCACTACCCACTTGCAGAAAGATTTTAACGTCGCCACCTGATCCTCCAATTAATAACGCGACGACCCACCGGAGAACAGAGCCTAATAATTTACAAAAACTAGATGGTAGGACGACATTCGTCTTCCTTCTGGGTCAAGTCGGTCTGAATGACCACACAGCGACACCGGTAGAAAGTGTCGGGTTTTTAAATGGATCCCACATGTACACTAAGCACAAAGTGTACTCTGAAAATCGACGGACATCGAATCTGTATCTCTGACCTCTCATTAGACGTTGTTTCAATAACAGGATGTCGACCGGGAACTGGCACTACCTGGATTTCGACGGTTCTGTGGAGACAGAGAAAACCTAGGGGGTGGATGTATAATTACACGTGTAAAGAATGGCCTGCATGTTTCGGTGAAAACTGCTAAACTGACTTGTAATACTGAAGCGCTACGGTTGACCATAAAGGTAACGGGTTCTCAAAGCCTCGACTTCATAGAAGTGTATCAGCCCCAGAGAAACGGCCCTGATGCTAATGCCCAACTGCTGGGAGAGCTCAAATTTTTTTGCTACATGGCAAACTTTTCCCAACATTGGGCACTTTATCAAACCTCAAACCGACTGGAACTCGTCCTGCGCCGGATGTTCTGAAACCACATTTGACGAGAAGCTTCTGCATACTGCTAGTCATTCGTTTATCACTCAACACGTCATACCTCCGACTATAATTCGCGACGATGAACTGTCTAAAACCTGTGGTCAGTAAGTCGCCTGCCAAAATCGATTTAATGAATTGTTTACCCCCATTAGGTCAGAGCTACCATGCAATTCTCATGTATTAATACGCCTTTTTCTCGCTACATGCCCAACGATCTGACCTGCGACCAAGTATCTAACGTGACTATTTCGAGCAAATAAAAATGAACTTGGTCTTATCGACTGGGTACCTACGTACTCTAGCAATATCGACGAGGTCTGTGGCCATTAAAAGAGATATTCCATAATCAACCCCCCAGCCACTGCCAAATCATGCGAAAAGGACTAGCGAACAGACCTCGGTGGCTGAGTACTTCCTTAGAGAACGAAGTTATCAAGAAGAGAAAGTCGTGGAAAAGATCCCTCATCGATAGGACATGCGAGTAACTCAATACTTAAAGAAGCAGAGGAAATGGACCAAAAGTCGGTCAAATGTGGTCATGTAGCTCCACCTAATGTAAACAAACCCCAGCCACCTGTAATACGGAACCGGTGGTAATAGCGGTTTTTACAGGTGAGGCCGGAGAACGCACAGGCGACGAGGTAAAGGGATAGTTTACAGAAGGAAAGCTATTGGGAATGCGCGGTTGTAATCTGCGTGATTGAGAAATAGTTGCCCTAACGCTTAACTCTAACCCTCCAGTCTAGCCCTAACCCCAGCCCCACAGTATTGTGTAACCACATCTTGCCCAAAATTCTTGTAGCCAGGGATTAGCGGGTCTTTGAAAAGGATCTCCTGAATCGTGCCGTGGTTAACCCTAGTTTTTCACAGTAGCATAAAACAGAGTACGAAGAACGAATATTTCTAGTCTATTGTTGCGAACTGCCGAAGATGCGAAAATCTCAGGGGCCATTGGGGAGGCTGAGCCTGTCTCTGAGTTCTTCTGGTTCGTCTTTAGAAGCGAACCCGAAAGAGTCGACTTTCCCAGTCCTCGATGAAATTTCGACCAACCTGTTAAAGGAGCTCTCTTCTGAAATGGTCGAGTCATTAGCCCTGTTATTCCGAACATAATCTTCTACTGAGTGCGCAACCTCTTATTGAAAATCAGAGACTATTTAAGAGTGAAAATCGACCACCTGTGAATAACTACAGACCAGTGAACCTTACCTCTATTTGTTGCATAATAATTTAGCAATTGTTGATTCAGTTTCTTGAGCAGAACCACCTTCGCTCTGATGTCCAACTTGCAAGTCGGTCGTCAACAGTTCCTAGTGGTAACCATGGTGAACGGAGTCCCACTGGGCTTAGCTTTTGGCCCCAAGTTTTTTCTTGTTTTTATCAATGACCGCGGCAGAGACCGAGATTGTGATGTCATCTTGTTCGCTGGTGACAATAATTGCGGAAAGTTGTTCACACTGCGGCGGACGAAGACCACCTGCGAACAAACTTGTGCCGGCTTGAGGACTGGTCGAAGTTCTGGTGTATATCCTTCAATTTCTTTAAACTGCAGCTGCAGTCTGCAGCTCGAGGACCTACTTTCTAATTCCTACACCACTGTTACCAATTGAGAGTCAGAGGGAATTGGGCGCGTGGATAACACCTATGAAATTTACGCTGAACTACACGAAAGCGGACAAGTCATGTTTATACTGGAACTCATCGAGCCGGCCTTTACGGGGATTGACACTAACGGCCTCTCCATAGCATCTGAAACTTCCGCGCGGCCGCATCTGGAATATACGATACAGACATGGAGACCCCGGAGAGTCAGGGACTGTACCGTCTTCAGGAAGGTCTGGAGACGGACGACAAAAACGATCCGAGGTCTGGATTTACTGTCCCATGAAAAAACGGTCGACACTTAACCTTCCTCCCCTTTCCTACAGGCAGCAACGAGGTGATTTTATACTAACTTTCCGCATTTTCCATGGCGTTGACTACTGCTTTGTCCCCAACGATTTTTCACTCAGTCTAACAAGCATAATTTGCACGGTCATCCCTAAAAATATGCCCTACGAAAACAAGAGTTGACGGATGCACGTTATTCTTTGGTAGCAGAATCGGAACCTGGATCAGTCTGCCGCTAAGGTGCTCTCCTTAAGCGTGGATTCGTTTAAGGCCAAACTTAACACGTATTAGATTTCAGACTTACTAAGGGAAAGTTAGGCAATCGCCTTTGAACTCCGTACTAGTCGCAAAAGTGCCGAGGAAAGGCACCGACACATAAGTCAGATTAAAAAGGGAACAATTTACACTATCTTTTGCAACAAGCAAGTACCTCGCTGCAGGCGTAAAACAATTATAAACATCAACTCATGCCTAACTGATGCCGTCAGCATGATCAGGCATAATTTAAATTACACACCGCCGGGGGCATAGAATGTGAATGAGGCTGGTAAGTGTGAAATGCCCATAAAGCGAGCCAACTGAGGAGATAACTCGGTTCTCCTTAGAGGGCGGAGAGCGAGACCGCAATAACTTCTCAGAGCGACCTTTATTGCACCCCCACTCAGTTTGGATCCGAACCAGCCTTCCTTGTGTAAAATTCTGATAATCCGTGCGTGGCAGACAAGTGCATGTGGTGACGTGGGCCCTCGCACGCCTCAGGTCTGCTCGACACTGTCAAGACACCGAGCCCAGACTGAGGTGGAGGAGCGAGTGCGAAAGTCTGTTATTACTATAAACAAGTTCACGCTCAAGTCACCGTCCGTGCTCCAACCCCGTAGTAGAGCACAGAGTGGGCATTGTCGAAAACAATGATTGCACTGTCATTTGGTGACTATAAGGTAACGCGACTGAGATTGAAGAAATAAAGCTACACAAAATTGGGTTGGGTGTTGGAATAGGCAGAAAAAGCAGAATGTTCTATGCATAAATAGAGTAGTTGTGGTGTTAAATTTGCAATCCTATTTAGAGGTCCAAAAATAAAGTCCCAATCTATAAACGTGGGAGTTTCATGTTCTCAGTCGCTAGTAGTATATAAGACGATGGTTAAAATATTTTGCGTGAGCCTTTTATCCCTATTTTTATTTGTTGCGAGATAATCCAAATAAGCATCTCTGAGAAAGCACGGAGACATCGGGACGATTTATGGGTCGGTGAACTGAATTTTTTTAAGTCTTTTATGCATAAGTTTTTAAGAAGGGCTCCATTTCCGATTAACTTCGAAATTTGATGTATTCTTCGGTCCAGATTTCCTGTCCAACTTATTTATTTAATTTTCCTTCGTTTCGGCTTTTTCAAAAAACGTCACCTTTCTATAAATGAGGGCTGATTAAGCATACCTTTGACAAATACTGGTATATTTAAGTGACTGTCATACAAAAGTGGTCAATTTTACCACTTTTTGACTAAATACATTTTTCTTAGTAAGTCATGAACACCCTTAAGATCAAAATGCCAATGGGAATTCTAATAATAGGTCAAGTTTGCGTTAGCCCACATTTACATCTCCCCTAGCTTAGTCTATACGTGTCTTACGTACTAGTTTGAAGCTTCCAACTTTTCAGAAATAACGTTTCGTTATTTATGCAAACCTTGGATTTATAGTGGTATATTGGTTGTATGGTACGACACATAAAGCGTCCATTTTGCTATTTTGTTTGTGATGTTCGTGGTATCTTATTACAATATGTGCATTGTTGTGAATGCCTACAACGACAAAATTACAGTAATGAGAGGCAAATCTTGTATTTGTCCTCAAAAGACTGCGGTCGTATAAACGTTTCAGCAGTACCTGATAGAGTCGATTGCGATATTCAGCGACGGATAACTGCACGTTGTCACTGACTGGTGGAAGAACAGGCCTAGATACCCGAATCTCTTCAATTGGATTGTGAAATCTGTAAAATATGAAAAATCTAGGATTGATTCACATCAGCAAATGATTGAACCACTGAGGTTCTTTGCCTGATATGTAATTAAAATAAGCTGCCCTAATTGCTGCGGGCATTTTTGAAATAATTCTGTCGCTCACTACGTCAATTCATAAAACAACGTGTTTTATAAGCAATGATGTGTTTAGAGTTTGAAAGATAATAAACGACACGACCAAAGGCATCTGAGAGCTTAAACGAGTGGAAGTGCGTTTTTGAGATGAGAACTAACAAGGGAAAAGCTGCACTTGACCAGGGTTCCCGAGCCCTGTCAGTATCCCCCACGTTATAAATATATTCTGCCAATATCCCGACAAGCGCGCTAGTGTGTTCCACAAGGGAGCTGCTGCGATACTATACTTTCCATACGTGATTTAAGTAATATTCATCTTTCCTCCTGGATCACAGTACGAACGGCCATGATGAGTGATGACTAAATTGGTTTTCATGTAGACCGTGCTGCTGCTTATTGTTGGAAGACAACCACAGGGAAACACTGGCGAACTATACGCATGAAAAGCCATATTTTCTTGCCGTCTACGTGGATCACCTCAAGACTTGCTCTTTTAAGTATATTTATACTACTTGTTCTAATCGGACCATATATGAGGACTATAGTCAGCTACATTGCAGGAAGTATATTTAAAGTACAAAGCGGCTTTTGACCATTTGCGAAAATCATATTCTATTAAACTTCTCTATTAATCGCGAGATTTGTGCCCAAACGAGTTTATAGGACGTAAATGCACGTACGTTAACAATGACAATCCTCGGGAAACTCAGGATTGGGTAAACATATGGCAATGATTATATAGTAAATAGTACCCAAATTATTATTTATCTTTGGTTCCTTTTTCCACTAACTATCTTGGTTCCCGTGTTCGTTTCAGAGGCGTAAGTATTTCAAAGTAGACAATCCTTGGTAATCTTGCGACTTTTGATTCACATCTTGGTTGTATCATTCAAGATAATTTAGACGTTAAATGTTGCTATTTTACATTCCTCGTTTTGTGTGTGTTAGTCCGAGTTAGGATAATTCCTAACTTTCAGATCAGTTTTCTAAGCTATATCAAATCTTAGGTTTTATTACATTCATTTTTAGTGTTACGCAGCTAAAAGAACGGCTCAAAATCGACCCCGTAAAAATACCAGCTTTTACTGCTGACGCTGAACCGGCCAAATTAACTGACCAGTAAATCAACCGGCCGCCAATTACTTCTTGTTTTCATATAATATCTCCAGTTTTAGCAAACGTAAACAAATAAAAAATTCTTGCTTGACCACATAATGGCCCAAAAGCGGTCGCCGGAAAATTACTAAATTTATTTGATTTTTATGTAATTTCTTTCGGTTTTTTATCCTTGAGAATCGAGACACAGAGCAATTGTGGAGATTCTGCAGGATAAACGTTGGTAAAATTTTCCGCCAAGGAATTTCTCCAAATATTGATTCGAAAACCTCTATCCTCTCTGTCTTACACGCCTCCGACTTCAAATGTAACTGCAATACGCAAAATCAAAAAGAGTATAACATCCATTTTCAGAGTTTAATAACCCCACCACCAAAATCTTTTTAACGAGCGGTTATGGCAGCCAACTTGCTGAGTAGTGCGAGTGCATGACGAAGGCTCCACAACCGAATAGAAAAAATGTAGTGTCCGACAAACTACTCTTATTACTAGTATAATTTTTGAGGCGGTTTTTTATGACCAATCTCGAAATGGATGTAGTCTACAGATCGAAAATTCCCCTTCAACATATCAGTCAACGCGAAAACACCTTGCCATTTTGGAGAGCTCTGTTGTGATAATCAGAATTGGTGTCTGAGACAGCAAGTAAAAGCATAGTAGAATGACGACGATCACTTAAGTTGCAACTGCACCAACGGCAAGTAGCAGCAGGACGGGTAGATGATGACTCTTCAATTGCTGTACATATTAAAGAGGATGCACACACTTTCGACTTCCATTGTCCGAAAAAGTTAGATAAAAATGCAAGAAGTTGACTGGCTCACTTTACTATCCTTTCTGACATTCGTCAGTGATGGATCCATATTTAAATACGATAAATTTTTTAGGGCGATCGGCAGGCTGAAACGACGTTTTATTTTACGTAGTTTTCGGCTTTCCATCTTAACGTGACGCAGTTTAGAAAGCAGACAACGCTGGAAGTAAGAAGCGAGATTAAAGAAGCCTCGATTATTTGCTGGTTTGGTAGTTTGAAATTTAGACTGTCTGTTTTTGTCGCACTTAACTTCGCGTAACCTCCATGTTTTGCTAACATTCAAGCTGAGATTCAAACATCTATTTTGTGTATCAGAAAGATGCCGTTATAAAATCAGCTAATATCCAAAGAGACCTTTGACGGCATAATCCACAACAAGAATGCAGTTGTTTCAGTGTCCTGCCAAAAATATGAAGAAACCGACTGCGGGCCAATGCTGGTCATGCGACTTAATATAGGAGGGGAGTAAATGCACTTCAATGCCAAATACATTAAGGCAACAACTATTCAAATAAATAAAACAAGTAGACTCATATACTGGAGTGGGAAGATGACATAGCATCACAGGAAAGTCCACAACGTATCAAATATCAATGGTTTTAGAAAATAAGTAAATAGGAGAATGCCAGTCAATAAATCTTTAAATAAAAATTCAGCTTGCTTTCCGTGCATTAATACTAGCGATGAATTATCTAAACAACTAATTCGTCATCATTTTATGCAATGTGAACTTGCCTTTGTCGTGAAATAGGCAGAGAATAGTGACACGTCCGTTTACGCTTTTTAGGGAAAACACCGAATGTTAACTTATAGTAACGGATTCAAAACACGCTAGGTGGAGCGTTTAATGAAAGAACTGTCAAATTATATTACAAACACGCACCTAACAACTATCACTCGCATATTTTAGTCGTCCCCGACAACTGCCCACCTATAGCTGTAATACTTATTTAAAAGCAGTTTAGAGTATACTGGCTGCAGCTATCATTACTGAGCAAACAACAAAGGCAACGAATACAATATCAGCAATCTTCCGGTCAACCGCCGTGTCAGCAGGTATTTGGAGCAAAAACTGCAATAGCAGGACACATCGCTTGCGAATAGAACTTTCTACACTCCTCGTAACATTATCAATTGTGGGCTTGCTTTCAGATTTAATGACGTTGCAGAAGGTAAGACGACTTCCGAGATATCGGTACACTGAGATCCTGAACTGGTTAACTAGCTAAAGCGTCAAAAAATTATGAGCAACTCCATTTAAATCATCAGTCGGAACGTATTGGTGAGCAACACTATCTGCGGTTAGCTGCTTTGGGCAACGAGACAAATTTCCAAGCAAAGTATACTTCTATTAATCACTCATCATACACTTGTGTGCTACATATTTTGCAGTCAAAAGGTTGTTTCGGTGCAAAAAATTAAATAAGTTGGAAAAAGTTAAACGCCTCTAGGTTCCTAGATTAGGAAAAAAGAATGTATTTTGAATACAGCAAAAAATCCCAACTTTGACCTAAGACCGTAAAAGGAGCTATTGTCTTCAATCATATAAACAGTTGGCGCTATTTAACTTCGAAACATTGTACGGTTGAGAACGGTCGAAATTTAGACGTCAACAACATAACACAGTAGGTGTATTTGCAATTATTTTAAGTGCCTGAACGCATGGTAAACAACAACAGGGACCAGTCTTCACCGTTCAGTTGTTTAGCCAAGTTTATAAGCCACCTCTACTCAAAGCAAATAAACACTCAGTTAACTTTCAAGAACAAATGCTTAACCATCGCAGCTTCTGAGAGATGGAAAGTAGTAGCGTGGATAATGTGATCATCATAGGTTCAGTCACTTTGTTACATTATTTTGCATACCGGCAAAATTGTACGTTAATGTACAAAATACTTTTACAAATAAATAAGGGCAACGAAAAAAGATACTTAGGCGGCGATTACTGCCTTATTGAACGTCATCAGTATGTTCCGTCCTTCGAGTAAATGAGCTGAACATTCCTCTCAAGTTGCTTTGTGTAATTCGGGTCGCAGTTGACAAGGTGCGGGCCAGTGACTGGAATAGTAGAGCATTCACTCAAGTGATTCACGACCAGAAATCCTGGGTTTTAGTTCAAAGTGTTCCCAGCGTGGATTTAGTAGTTGGTTTACGCCGACAACAAAACCAGAGACGGCTATTCCGATTTTCTTTTACTTTGTCACTATTGCCTTTGAAGTACTCGTGAATGAGTCGACGTCATTGATGTAATTCTATCCCACGACCGCTTGGACAAGTTTGAGTGCAGCCAATGCTCTAGTCTTCTGAACTACGAAGTCCCACCAAGAATCGTGAGTTAAGTCATATTTGGGTCAAGTTACCTATTGCGACCTATGGAATTCACCAATTCTGGTACAATACGCTAACAGCCCAAGCAGGATTGACAAAAAGACCAATCCAGAATCCGTCAGAAACTACCAGGCTCACTTTAACAATAGGTGGTTTGGGAGACTTTGGAAAATCGTTTAACCCGAATGTAAAAAATGTGCCGACCTAGGTGGAGACAGCAAGGACAAGGCTTGAGTACAGGTAACGTTCAAACCACCTGGGCCATGAGGTCCCAGTAGGAATCGTTGGTATTCCGTCTACAACGGCCTGCACAGCTCTAGTTCTGTAGTTACAAGCAAAACATGATGGACATTCTCCGATTACCAAGTAATTCAGCGAGGTGCCCAGCGAGGAGTGACGCATTAATGCTGCCTCGACTACTTCGTTGTCTAGAAGTAGCACTAACTGCGCTTTTTTAACTCATTTTTCCCTTTTGCAAACAATATTATCCACGTATGCATTTTAAAAGGCGAAAGAAATCCAAATTAATCGTTCAGGCCCTAAAAATAAAAAAGTCATGGAAGGAAAGAAAACCAAGCCGTAAATAATAAAGCTGAACGCAGTTCGCTTATTTTGTGTGATTGGAAGGATGCAGATGTAAAATGAGGTTTTGTGTAAATATTATGTGAGGGTCCCATGTGAGAGGCTAGAATCTGATTTCAGTGGCATCAGACTTCAACTGCGCTAGCCTTGGAAACAAATAATAACGCACATAATTTCGCACGCTCACAAAACATGGCTCGTTTTACGAAAAAAACATCGCCCAACAAGCAGTATAATTGTTGGAATACCGTTTGACGTAGACATGCTCCAGTGCCTCCTCCACTGTTATACGTTTGTGTGGATTGAACTGAAGGAACAAATTCATTAACTCGATGCCGTTTGGGTCACTGTTCTTCATCATCTCTGCAACCGGTTTTCTTTGCCTTGAAAAAGATGAAGAATATTTTTATGAGCCAGTTTGTGGAAGCAGAGCTTAGTACTAAGAGGTATGTCAACAGGTTTTGATGTGTAGGATCTGCTTTTTCCAACCAATTAGACCATTCGGTTAATCTTAACTTGTTCTCGTAATCCTTAGTCTTTTAATTTATACATTCTCTTTCAGCGTCCCAGTGTTGCCCTCTCCTTCTTCTTAACAGTTTTTAAGTTGCTTACTCATTACCGCTGAGATTATGTGTGCTGAGCAATGACCTTGCTCCTCTCACATTGATTTTCTGAGAAAATATAACTTGCTGCTGACCCGTTATCTATGTTATGCAGTGACAGATAGCAGTTGACGAGGTGTCGCGAAATTTTTTGAGGTCAGTAAATTTCGCTGTTTTACGCCTGCTACAAGTTCAAACCATGGAAAAGATGCCTCAAGTACTCCGTTGTTGTCAGGTGCTCTCGTTGTCGCAACCGTAATTAGGATCGTTGATAACGTCAACATGGAATTATTGCTGGTATGTAACTGAAAATTGTGTCAAAACCTTGACCGAATCTTCTATCAGCGCATGGAGCATAGGACATTCCGATATATTTACGTCTGTGACTTTGCGGCATTAAGCAATATATTTTTTAATGAAGTACTGTCCAACTTTACGTTGCTATTACTTTTATGGTATTTTCGTAGATGGTCATGAAGACGATTCCCCTTCTCTTCCCTTCCCTAGGACGCAGTTTCCTGGAAAGCCAAGAAAATTGACTGATATCTGCAACCTTTAAAGGGTTATGAAGAGGTCTGGAAACCTAATGGAGTATGTCCACGCTCATAGTCAATGAACGATTCAAAAGTCTTTAAAAATCGTATCTATGTAAACCAAGATATCGTATTCATAATCCCAACCGACATGAAGCGAACCCATAATATATAAGTGACTTTGATGTCATCCTCGGGCGTGCAGTCTGGCCTTCAAGTATGACTGGCTATGGACGAAAAATAAGTGTGTAAGGCTTATTTCGTTGTTAATGTCATTTTCGGTGCATTTTCTCTCATCGCATACGGCGTCAAAAGCTAGAATTAAAGTAAAGACTATGAATTAACGTAATTTTGCATGTTGTCGGTTTTGTGGACTTTAAAACATATTTGATAATTTTGGTGAGCATTGCAGGAATTCCAATACAGACTGGACGTAGACCTATGTGAGTAGAGGCTGACGGAAATTCAGATGTGTAATAAAAGCAACCCAATCACATTGAGGGCAAGATCTTACTTTACGCAAGCTTTTGCCAAAACCGACGAACTGTAGGAGCTTTTCACACTCTCAATGTCTAAAAAAAGACGAAACATGAAAAGTTGGCGGTTTGTGAATATAAAGCAGTTATTCCGCAATAACTGATGAATTCCAGCTCAAATATTCATATCAAAATTTGGACCGTGCTTAAAAAGGCCCGTTTCGAAAGACATACTCCAAGTTCGCGCATTAATTTCTTCGGAAATTAAAATAGGCAAGTTGAAACTGGACTTCATATACCAGAAAACACACGGGAAAGCTGGGGGATCGACTGACGAGCCGAACACCTCGCAGCTGCATCAGGCAGCGGCATAAGATCGGCGAAAGAAGCGTGTCCGGGTCTTTAGTTAATACCTGTGTTGTTAGTACGGTAAATCATTGCACAAACATGGTATGTACTTACCAACTGCTGTATAAAGTGATTGATCGAAGATTTAACTGCAAATCGGATGTGAAACACTCGCTCCTCTAAGACCAAAGTACTTAGGCGCCTTACAACCGATACTTTGCAATAAAACCAATAATTCACCCGTAACTTCTCTTAACCATGCGAAAACGATTTTTTTCATGTTCCGTTTACTGTGTATGTAAAGACGCACAAACAGTGCGTTTTGGGAAATTATTTAAAAAACTCGGAGGTCGGCTTTCAGATCTTAACATTCGATTTTTCTAAAGGGTGCGTAATTGCGTCAATTATTTTCCCAGATGGCTGTTTCCGTATGGATAAAGCAAAAGAAATATAATATAAAGATATATATTGGCCTCTTTCCTGAGTACATCCTAAAAGATTTTTCGTCTCGAAAGATTATGCTTTATCGTTGTTTATTTCACATCAAATAATATAATTTAAAAAAAAACATTAGAGATGTCCACAGTTGTCGGAAGTTTCTATTTTCAAGGGTATGTTTCTGTACTTAGGCCAACGAGAAACTACGGTCAACCACCGAAAAGAAAACCATTACGGGAACCGTCTTGATATGCAACTTATTGACGTTATACTTAGACACTGCGCCAGTAGCCTTCCTTAAAACTAATTAATTAAAAGTTAAGTTCTGAAATGAACATCCAGTTACACAAATGTTTTCTAAAGTTGAGTAATAGAAGTCTTGAGCTACTTTCACATTCAGATAGCCTAGTAAGTGCTTTATTACGATGAACTGTATATTTAAATATGCATAAGATCCTCTAGCTACCTGCCCTGATTGTTTGCCGAATGCCATAATATACCCAACTCAGGTTGCTGTGAATGCTATCTTTGACAATCATAGTTTGTTGGGATGTATGTGAGAAGTTGAAAGGCTGCATATACCGGCTTATAAGATCTGCAGACAGTCGACTGTACGTGAATTAAAGTCAACGCTTTAAACAACCTCTACTTGTTAACGATTTTTGACTTAACTTGTAACCTTATTTTAAGCAATGACTTTCATTATTAAGTACCTTTTAAAAAGAAGCAAAAATTAAGGGTTTTGCCAGTTTTACTCGCAAAATTCTTAAGCAAGATGCAGGCCAGGAAAACCAGTTCCGCATTTATATTTATTTGGTAGTCTGCTCAGAGCATGATATGAGCAGCGGTCGAACGCTATTCAGTCGAAATCGCATGCAAATGATGAGCAGTTAACTTCAGATTATGGCTAATGAACCACGGCCTTGAAATGCTATTATTTCTATGGATTTCACTCAAATTTCCTAGTTTTATCACAGGCGGTGTTTTTCTCATTTTTCCTTAAAGTAGTCAAATCGGTGGTATACAGTGAACTACACAATAAAGAGTGACAAAAGTGGAGATCAAGGGGCTGTTTCTGGTTAACTCAGCATCACCAGACAGCCAAAGCCTAAATCGGGGTTTGAATAATCTGGATTCCCTCGTATTTGCTGTTTTTCGTCCATCATTACTTGGGATCACCATGCGTCTGCTTCTGAAGGTCCTTGACAAGGCTCTCAGGAACAACGCGACGAACATGTTTCGTGCTGTAACCGATTCATTGAACGGCCCCCAACGGCTAAATAGCTTGAACCATTCTGGTGTTTCTCATTAAAACCTCGTACAATTTGAACATATAAGTTTAAAGGTCCGGACCCATTAGCGTTATAGGCCAGAAGGCACTCAAAAGCCAGCCATTGAGCAACAAATATGCTTTAAGTACATTAACTGGATGAAGTCGAATGAACACATTGGTTGTCCTTAGATACTTGGATGTGAATTTTGGAAACAGTAACGTGCGCAGCCTTTGGTGTCTGTATTACGCTTTTGTGGACTATTGTAAGGACAACCCGTTTTCTGTTGGAACGAAATCGCAAATACAGTGGCCACACCATATGCCTAAAAAGCGCAGAGTAGAGAAGTGCTTTCGGTAAAGTTGGTTTATAAGAAAAATCTCCAGAGGCCACCGGGAGTGATGCCAACCACAACCGATAACAACCTCGAATCATCTCGGCGAAGGGTCTGTTCTAACATCTTGATTCACTTGTCCGCTACCTCTTAAATTTTGTATTGTTCATTTTCGCATTGTTCAATACGCCAGCTCATTCGTTACATTACGAGTTGTATTTGGGTTATCTAAAGTTGGTTATACTTTTTCCTAAAATTGTCGACCAAATTAATCGACTTTTGGATAGTCACTCAAAAACACATTAGTCTGTGCAATTATCTGAACATAAGAGTCCCAGACTCAAGACCCACGCCCGCTTAAAGGCTGATAAATTGGGTCAATGCAGGGACGACGAGAAGCGCGCGAATAGAGGGCCTGCCTTTTGTTGTCGCTGCTGACCAGCAGGCACGTCCATATGTGGCGGATAGTAGAAGGGTCTTCGGCAAAAGCTGAACGTAAAATAAGCACTCTCATGAGTCTAACAATTACTTGCTCACTATGCACCGATCACCCTTTCAGACATGTCTCGCAAATCAGTTATCTATAGAAACCTCACATGCACTTGCGCAACCGCGACATGCGACTGTTGCCTATCATCAAATAAGGCCTCAACCGAGATCCGGCACGATCGTGAAGTCTTGACGTAATATGCTGGAGGTTAGATGAATACATCCGCCTAAGAATTCTGGAACCACAGAAAACCCTCCCTCCGCGAGTCGCCCCACAAGACAACTATTGAACAAGTCACAGTTTGTCGGGTTTCTGAAAGGCGGGGATATTATTTCTGCGCGTTTTAGGTGGGTCTTACCAAGGCCAAATAGGGATAAAAGAAGACCTCACGCAGAAGCAAAAAATGAACCGTGTTGAACGGAGCCATATAACAGAGCATAGGCATATTGTTCCCAATGACTGATATGATTTTTGCAATAAATGAGGCTTCCCCTGGGGAGTTATGTGTCTTATTTAAATATATTTTTTATTATTTTAAAATCTATTTAATGAAATGATAGTAGACAACTAAAACCCGTGTCTGAGCGTGGGTGATGGCAGGAGGGGACTTTTAGACTTCGAGGCAGTGACCAATTTAGGAGGGCTGATCGCTCTTGATTGAATGAAATACAAGCGGGAAGTCACAAACACCCTAGTATCAAGGTTTAGAACTCCATTAAAATTCTGTCAGATATTTAGAACTTTCTAATTCACACAGCAGCACTGACGGAATTCTCGGGGTATTCAAATGTTCTTAGACATGCCTTGCGATAAGCCTGGAAATGGTAGCTAATTTTGAAGAAAGTATTTCTCAAAAGCACCCCTGTACACTACGAAGATGGCTGTTGTTTGATTTACCTGCAGGTTTTGAGACAGAAAATACCATTTTAACGGACCAAAATTCATAAATGTAGGAACTAGAATCACGCAAAAGGTTCGTCTAGTTAAATTCGAAAAAACCTCTTATGGTTTAACGCTAATGTAAATTGCACTAGGCGATGCAATGTTGGCGACCTATGACAAGGTGGGGTCTACGCAACCCTTGCTCACTCAATTTGCTAATTTCATGTTGATCAGTTGAAACGGTCAAATGAATTGAATGTACTCATTTTACGAGAAGACCACCTCACCCTCCTTGGTCGGCTTCGGTAAGCCTGCCATGATCCGTTCGACCTGGTTGAGAGTTGAAGCACCAGGAAAGAGCGGTTTTCCAGCTAACATCTCACCAAGAATACAGCCCATGCTCCATAGGTCGACACCTTTGGTGTAATTGTTACAGGCGAGAAGGATTTCCGGTGCGCGATACCACCGCGTGGCGACATACTCGGTAAGTGCCGGCATGTCTCCGACGGCCTCGTCGTTGCCCGAGATCGCGGCGTTCGACTGATTCGTAAGATCCCGGCCAGCCAGGGACCGAGCCAGACCAAAATCACAAAGTTTTACGAAGCAGTCGGAGTCCAGAAGAACATTGGAAGGCTAGACATGTAAACAGTGATAACGTTAACGCGGATCCGAAACATAACATGAGACAATAATTCTCGTTTTACGTCAGATGCAGTCATTGCTTGGGAAACCAGCAAATTTCCGATCATTCGGCTATGGAACATACTTATGGAAGTTAGGTAAAGAAAACATTTGACCTAATTATGTTATTCCGTGCATAGTTTGCAAGTGTTTTTGGTATATAAGTTATTAGTTCCATATTCTCAAAACTATTTATAGAGCATCGTTTTTTAAATATGGTTTTTAGTGAAGGCAAACCATTATAGGCAAAGGCACTATAGGCTATCGAGCGTTGTCTATGGCAGTTTCACCCGACAGGCAAGATTTTTTGCCATTATCATCAAAGCGGTTAACAAAGAATCGGTTGTAGAAACTTAAAACTACTCATAATCTGGGTAATTCTCCATAAAACTATAAATGAAAACCTCAACATGAGAAATACTATAAAATGATATTTTAATTATTTAATGTTTGGGGGACCAAAGGCCTGTACCGAAATTCTAGCTATTTTGGTGTGAAACTTTAATTGTTATATCGTCTTTTCAGAGAGAGGATAATGTTGTTAGACGTTAGGAATCTTGTTACAAGTACTCACGCCTGCAGCAGGTTTATTTAAATTAAGTATGCGTTTTCTTATGGTTTGCATGTGTAGGTAAATTAAGCAGTTGTATTTTCCACTAACCATAACTGAGGAAGGTATAGTAAGTTCTATCCGTTTTCATTAAAATAAACTGCTTCAGGTTGTATCGCACGATATAATCACGATTCATCTTAGGCGATTTTATATATAAGATGAATAACTTTGGAAATGTTTCCTTCAAAGTCAGGGAAAATTTGAAGATCCGCAAGAAATGTGTGACATCTGAGGACAAAATACATTCCTTCCACACTAGTAATGCTGAAAAGTTCAGAGTCTACAAAAACAGTCATGAGCAATCGTATCGTCATAAATTTTCGAATGCATTTGGCTGGCATTAGAAAGTTAAATCGTGTTGTCAGTTTACTACTATGTCTTTTCTGACGTCGGTTAGTGAAATCATACTGACAGAGACACGTTTGAACAAAAAACATTCCCAGTGTGCTTTGAAATGTGCTGATTTTCAGCGATGCGGTCTTTAACAAGTGGTGAAAATTTCATTTTTGAAAACACTTAACTTGATTGCACTAGGTTTTGTGATCTCTGAAACCAAGTGCATCAAACAAACCTGAGTTAGAAGTTTCAGTTGCAGTGGCAATGCATTATTTATCATTAAGTCTGGTTTTTGAGCAAAGTCTGTGTTTGTCTTACGTACTTCTGTCAGAATAGTTGGCGTGTCCTCACGAAATGAAATTTGTTGACACTCGGATTAAAGCTAAGCAGGTGAATCTGTATAAATATGACTCATACACGTTAAAGTTAATGTCGTACATTATCAAAATTCTAAAGTCTATAAATAACCCATCAAAAACATGTGTTGTCCGCAACAAGTCAGCGCAGAGGTTTGACAAGACAGCGGAATAAATTTATTTGACAGTTCGACCGTTTGCCCTGACGATGCTCACCGTGCACCCCACAGCAGAACGGGATTTGGAGCAGTGGCTTGCGTGCGAATTCGTTTGTAGTAATGATAGACTTGAGCAGCACCCATCAAAATCTCTTCTCCCTTAGTCGATGTGTATCTGGTGTCAGGGCAGAATCAAAAATGCCAAAAGTGGAATCGGGAGATGTGGCTGACAGAACTGGACACCTAGTCTGCGCGTGCTACACGCAGCCTTTCCCTTGTATACCACATCAGGTTTTTGCAGTAAAAGAGATAGACGGCCTAGATTTCGCATGCCTGAGAATGTTCTAGGGAACACACTAACAAGGAGTTATTCAGCTTTTCTCTCGGTCGACTAGTCGACCTCCACACAAACGCACCCTAGACTGATTGCATTGCCTGAGTCCAACCGCCCGTTGACAACCTCCCAAGTCACGACTTTTCGGCGCATCGTGATAAATTCAAGTACGTTAAATTTATTATAGTGAGCAATGCGATAAAATGCCGTGGGAGTGGAGTCCCCACCATCCACCCCACTCTCTTTTTCCTATCCTGTGCACCAGTCGACTGTCCGAGCCCCTCTACTAACTGATAATGGGATCCGGCGAGTGGTTGACAGGTCTAAGCAGTCCGTCTTTAGGTGTCAACACGGTGAAAATTAAAAAAAGCTATCTTGAAAACCTGCCAGGGATCTTTTTAAGTAATTCATGCGGCGGGAACTGACCCAGTTTGGAGTTATTGAACATATGTTGACAATCAAAATCATAACCGAAACCAACATTTCTAAAAGGGACCAACTGGTTCGAAAATCAGAATGATCGAAGACCCCCTCCCCCCTACTTGGAGAGGCAAAGATGTATTGCAGGAACCCTAAAGCAAAGGTGCGGGGGAATCACGTAAAGACAGCTAAAGTCCCTATTCATATATTTTCTTTGGTTAACTGACATGAGGAATCGAAAACTATCCGGAATTTTCAGTGGCCAACCAAAAACAAAATCTCTGTCTCTAATGGCTTTCCGCCTGCTGGTCCCTTAATCTTCATGAACCAGGTCACATTAAATCAGACCTCATATGTCTATGAAGGATTGTTAACACGTGATGAAAAACCATATCATTGTAATTCTAGTCGGGTAAATTCAGTTAATTCGAAAGATGATAACTTTAAGCCACGGTATTCAGCATGTCGCTGCGAGTCAACAGCGTGTAGTGTTTATCATAATAACGAATGTCAGCACAGACGCCTCCTCATTCTCTCTTCCCCCCTCATCATACGGAAGTCACGGGGCTCAGAGATAATTTAGGACAAGTGGATTGGTGTGACCAGGCAAGTTAAGACATTACTTTCTGGGAGAAATTTTAACACGGTTGCAAACGAAGTACCATCTCATGCTATGACAAAACATCTTGACCTCGCACATGCTTACACACGGTTTTGCATGCATTTAAAGGATTAGCAGGCCATCATTTCACTTAGGTTCGATGTGATGGCCAGTCAATTTCATAACCAACAAGACAGATATGACGAGACTGAAGTGGGAGAGCGAGACTAGCTAGTGCCAGTTCGTTCCCAGGAGAATTCGATCGTGATGATGTGCTCCTCATAAATGCATATATCTGACTCTCGCTTTGATACTGTAATCACTTTGAAATGGCGTATGAGGTGGTGTGTGTGTAAGAGGACTCCAAACCCCCAGGTTTTGATCACTACTGCGGTCGGTGTCCATATAATGTGAATATCCGGCCCCCAGTTATTGGCAGTTTAATAGGAATATATTTGATCAACCAATCATCCAACTACCTCTGCAAATATCCCCAGTTGTTCATTTAATATACAAATTTCAAAAGCCCACATTTTTTTCTCTTATCTGGGGATAAAAGTTGTGCAGAATGAGTAATCACAGGCCTCGTACACAAACTAAGCAGACAGGTCTCCGCAAACCCTATCGTTTACCTTTTATAAGGACTAACTCGGTCAGAACAATTATTGACGTTCTGTCCATGCACGTCATCACTAACCATGTTCACAAATATAAATGCAAATAAACATGTAATTTTAGCATTAAAATAATAACAAGTGCTACCGGTCGGGAAAAATGCGACCATAGCATTTTCCAAACTATTTTTATCGAAGTCGTTATAAATCAAATAAACAGATCTGTTTGACCTCAGCATAGTCAAAAACGTTAACTAGTGGAAGGCCTCATAGATATTATCGACAAAGTTTGGTATCATCTTACGACAAGAGTATCTGCCTTCTGGTTTTAAAAAAAGAGTTTTTATGGAGAACATTATACGGCATGTGGATATGTGACAAACAAATTTTAGTTCATCTTAGTGTTCATCACTCACAGGGATGCTCTTACTCACTTTTACGATACATGCATACTACTATATAGTCATTAACATAGGATAAAATATAATACCACCAGAGGTAGGCGACCAGTTAGGATCAGGACTCTTATTCAAAGAAAGTTGCCTAGTATTCTTATGCGAACATTGCATCGAGTAAAACATTTAACTAATTTTACGAAAATATCGTGACTACAGCCACATATATCATAAAAGATGTTCAATCATTTGACGCTTATTGACATTATAATGACCCGTAATATGAGAGCGAGTGTGTACCTTGAGATCACGATGAATGACATTCGCAGAATGTAGATAAAGCAGTGCTTTAAGCAACTGATACGTTATATACTGCTTGTGAATTGAACGAAGTATATTGCCCCTTTTGATCACGTTGTGCAGATCCGTTTCTATATGAATACCGAAAATGTATGATAGCATGTATCTTACCCATGAACTCAAAGACAAGGTAGATATCTTTTTCATTGAAAGCCTTGAAAATGCTGTGCAGTTTTATGATATTTGGATGAGCTCCAAATTTTCTTAGGAATGCGATCTCTCTAAATGTCCGCTTAAACAGATGGAAGGTATAAAATGTTCACATACCTGCGCGTCCGTTTTGTTTCGAAAGGCGTCAAAAATCTTCTTCAGGGCAACGACTTCATTTGTCTTTTTTGAAACTGCCTTCCAAACAATGCCATATGCCTAGCCGAAAATTGGTCTCAGATGTGATAAAAGCATTCACTTGGCAGTAATTCATAGTGTTTCACTGAGAAGTTATGGACAGTTTAAAGTTTATTTTGCCTATCTCTGGTCATAATTCATACTATGGTTATTCATGTTGTACTACTTACTGCACTGAGAGCAGAGGTAATATTTTAAAGTCCGGGTATTTATTTCGCTTATATGCTGTCACTGTGCAACACAGCTGCAAGGTATCCAACCGACTAGTGAGCCATCAGGACATCTTATGCGCTTATTGACAGATATTTTAATTACTTCCAATTCGCAGAAAGAGGTCGTTACCTAAGACTAAATCAGTCAAAATACGGCTTTATATACCCACTTTGGAAGTAGGTACTAAGAGGTGGATTAGATCTGTCAGCTGCACCAAAATAACACGAATTATTCATAAAATGCCAGCAGACAGAAAGTGAAGTTATGCTGGGAAGTAATGAAAAGCCTAAAGATCAACCGCGCCCCTCTCAGAGGCAGAATACTCGCAAAGGGGATTCTGGTTATTAGTTAGTACCTGTGCTATCATTACGGCACGTCCTACATGCGTATACTAGTACCTGCCCGTTAACAGTTTAAGAATATCGCGCGGTTATCCCCTGCAGCGGATGAATATTGGTTCAACTATTTATATCAACCTTCGGGCTGAGCTAAAAAAATCTAAATTTGGACTGATTCCCTCCAGGTTATTGATTATTTTTTCAGGTGACAAAAAGCCATAAGCGTCCTTATATGCACGCATATAGTTGTTTACCTTGCTTACAAGGTACATTAGCTTGCTCAGCAAGATTATACAAAAAGAACAAGGTTTCCGTTCTGTTTTCTGTAAATTTAAACACATTCAGTTTCAAGAAATTCGTGTGCATATGAGTCAGCTTTTCTGGGTGCCAGAGCTGATAGGTGTAGTTTTAATTTAGATAATATAAAAACTAAAAATATTTAATTGACTCTTTTTATGCAGTCTACCTGCTTTTGGGAGACGAAAGGTTAAATATGTTTGATTAATGTGTTTGTCTCCATACGCATTTTCGGATTTTACGTCAAGCCTAACATGGAACAGAATATAAACTATAAATATAAGACAAGCAAAAATGGTGTCATAAATATTTCCTATTTCCGTACTGTAACTTTGACAGTCAATAATCATTCAGCTTCGTAGTTATATTTTAAAGTTAAACGGCTTTGCGTCTGTAAAAACCACAGTCGGTGAAATAATGTTATTTCTATGATAATGAAAAATTGAAAAACGCACGAAGTTCTGACTGCTGAATTTTGGCAACAGTTTAATTTTCCATAAAATATTGCCGTATGTTAACAAATGGTAGATACTGTAAAAGAAGATTTGAGGCTGAGTGGCTTAAAGTCGAAGAGCATACGGACAAGGTGGCTATTTTGTATTCCCCAATAGAGCCAATCTGGTTAAAAAAGGTTGTTCCTTTTTTAATGTTGACTGCATCAAGATGGCCTGTGATGCTCTTGACTGAATCAGCACGAGGGAACTGGGTAGTTTTATATTTCGTGTATTATATTGAAATGTATATTTTAAGTACCTGAATCTCACGCAGCAGCCACACTTGATGTCTGGTAGTCCTAAAAGCAGTTGATTATCTCACTACAGACCAAGAAGGGCCGAGAAAAACTGATTTGCGAAAACGCAAACTAATTAAATGTCTAGTCGGAATATGCTAAGATCTGAAATCAACATAAGCGTGTTTTGTTAATGCGCTACAAAGACAAGGACGGGCATTCGCCTTCAGAAACATTGGCAGGTAACCTAAATTAGCATCTAAAATCCATAATGCATAGTCCGAGAAATACACCATGTAAAAGTATTACACAGTAATATAGCAAACAAAGTCCACTAGCCTTACAAAACATTGAAACCACTCACATGCTTCTATACTTCTAAACTAAATGATCTGTTTTAATTTATATCCTTATACTTCGGTCGTCTACATTTCTCCGTAACTAAAGTTACACAGAAATCGTCCATAAAACATGCGTTTAAATATACTTATTCAAAAACGTGCGTCTAATTTATATATTTTCTTTATGTAAGACAATTGCAGCAGCACTGATACAGAATTATAACTCAGTTTTCATCAGTCCATAAATTTATCTTTTTTATTAGGGTTCGGTTTAAAGCAAAATGTCAAATACTTTTTAAAACTATCAACAAACCCCTTTTCCAATGCGCTTTTTCAGTTCGTAGCGTTGGAGAACATGCTGCTCAACCTCGGCTGTCATTTTGGCGTTATTCACCATGGTAACGCATTTTTCAAAAACGAGACTGCTGCAGGCCGAATTTAGGTAAGAAAAAGTGCACGTGACCTTTTTAAGGTAATCTGTCGCAGTTTCAGGTGTTCGGGTAAATTCTGCGGCCTATAACGTAAGGACTGTTTTTCTGGGTGTCAGTTTATTTTAAGTGTTTTCTATTTATTTAAAGTGTTCGCAATCACTTTGTTCGAAGGAAATATTCGTTATTGGATATTGTGTTAATGATAACGGCTGTTAATTAACCTTTTTTACGGTCGCTCAACATTATAGCTTAGTTTATCTTATTGCATATCAAATAGCGTATTTTATTTGATAAAAGGATTGGCCAAAATCCTTTTGCACCCTATTAGTATCTGGAAATGTCGGTACGAATGCAAATCAATCTGTAAATTTTGAATATGTCAGTCGTCGCGCCGTTTACTGGTCAATACAAAGCTATGACTTCCGGTAACCCACGAGCACCAAAAGGTTTAATCAATTTGGCCTGTTGTGGTGCATGTAATTAATATAAATCATGCGTCGCTGTATAGAGCAAATTGCGTTTGTATCAGTATCAGTTTATTTCAGGGAAAGAAGGCGTGTCCCCTTGAAATCCCTATTGGTTACATGAAAGGTGGATGTAGTCAGGCCTTATTGTGACGCCCGCTCCAATGCTGATCTAGTCTCCGTTTAAAATTTTTTATGGATCCCGACATAACGACATCCTCAGGCAAAGCATTCCAAGCTGCAACCACTCTGTTGGAGTAGAAGGACTTTCGTGTGTCTAGCCGAGCACCAGTCACACGTAACTTGAGTGGATGGCCTCTCAGGTTAGTCGTAGTCGCCAACTGGAAAAGTCTCCAGATCACCACGTAGCTGTCAGTGACTCAATGAAAGAGGTCAAGATTAGATAATTGTTTTTATACGGTAGTGACCACGGCCCAGGTACAACATTTGTTGCTCGCCCTTGAGCTTTTTCGAGTCTGTGGATGTCTTTAGTGGTCCAGGGTCTCCATGCTTAGATAGCAAACTCCATTTGCGGTCGGGCAAAAATTCGAAAGACCTTGGCGAAGCAGTCTTCATCAACGGAGGAGGACGCCCGTGTCACGAAGTATAGAATGGACATCGTCGACTTGGCCACCTTTGAACATTGCAGTGAAGGCTTAAGCAAGGTTCTGATCCATACACCCAAGTTCTTCTCGGTGTCGACTTCTTGCAGTGTTTTGCCAGTCGGGCGGAAGACCGTGCGGTTAGGAGAACTCGCTCCACCGACGCGTACGAAGTGACACTTGTTTATGTTGAACGGTAAATCCGGTCTTTTGACAATTGCTCCAGGTGGTCCACATTTGTCTGCAGTCGCGCCTCGTCAACTTCGTTTCGTATGATACTCCATAGCTTTGTGCCATCAGCAAACATTGCAGCATCGCAATCCCGTTCGTTTGCGCATTCGTTGACGTATACAAGGAACAGTGGATGGCCAAGAACAGAGCCTTGGGGAACAGAACTCCTAACGCCAACCTCGGCTGATTGCTGGTCACTGACGCGGATGGCTTGAGAGCGGCCGAATAAAAAGCCTCGAATCCACATCAGGAGCTTACCTCGCACTCCTGTACGGTTGACTGTGTACAGAAAACGGTTGTTAGGCACACTGTCGGAGACCTTTTAAAAGTCGATATAGATGGCACGAACCATAACTCCTCTATAAACAGCCCGAGTCCAGTGTTCCAGACAGTAAAGGAAGTTTGTCACACAGGACCTGCGTTTTTGGAATCCATGCTGGCAATCGGAAAGCAGATGGTTTTGTTCAAGGAACAGCGTTTATTGTTGCTTTATTAATTTCGCCTTAATCTTGCAGCAAATGTAGGTGACGCTGACAGGTCTGTAATTGTTTGCAGAGACCCGACTTCTGTCCTTGTACCGCGACGTAATCCACGCGGACTACCCGGTCTCAAAGGATGTCAGGAAAAGCATGGAGAGTGGTTTAGCCAATTCACTGGCGAGTTCCTTCAAAATCTTCGCCGGAATCCCATCGAGACCTGGTAATTTTGATTCTTTTAGCCTCATCAACTCCGTCAGAACCACACCCTCAGGGAACTGAAAGGTCTCCATAATTGTGGTGTCCACGAGGGGGTGAATGCCGAAGAGCTGAATACTGTTTCACTACTAAAAACAGACGGAAAAATTCTGAAAGGTGATCAGCTTTCGCTCTGTCTTTAGAGAGTTGTTCGCCTTCAGCAGTATTTCGCAATGGTATTGTGTCCTTGTTCCGCGTCCACTGCCTTACGTAACCGTATAATAATTTAGCGTTCTCCGCGGCACGTTTAAGCAGATACAATTTGAATTCTCTTCTAACGCGATTTCTTTGAATTTTATGCTCACATATATATATATATATGTGGGGCTCCTGTCAGAAAGCAATTTTTTCCACAGCCTTCGTTTTTTATTCACTTCATTCTTCAAGGTTTGCGTAAGCAACCGCGGTCTGTTAGTTAACCTATTCCGTGAAAGCGGACGGCGGTCTGCGATAAGCTTATGCATCATTTCTCGAAACCGTTGCCAGTATTCTAGTATGCTTCCAACAAATACGGACTCCCACTCTATGCGTCAAATTTCATCCCTGAGTTGGTCAAAATCACCGCGCCAAAGGTTTCGTCTAACTGTCACGGGATTTTCGGGCATGGTAAAGGCGAGTAATCCCACGGAAGAAGGACGTGGTCACTTTTACCTAGGCGGGTAGGCATGACACCTGTGATTTCGTAAGGACTAGATCAAGGCAGTTGGCCTGTTGACTTTCGTGTACTCTAGCTGAAAACATGACGTGCTGAGTGAAAAATAAATTCGGTGCCGTGTTCAGAAAACTCCCATACAAGGTCTGTTCCTAGCTTTTTCATGGGTCGAGCTCCAGCCAATATGAGGTGCGTTAAAGTGGCGCTTGTTCAGGATATCCGGCCGCGTAGCGAACTTTTCGAGCTTCTCCAGCAGGCGGGTGTCGGCCATGTTGACCGGTCTCGGCGGTAAATGAACTGTCAGAACATCGAAGTCAGGCAAGCTCGACACTTTAATAGACCGCCAGATTGCCTCGAAAGTACAGGAAAATATATCGGTTTTGTCTGATACATTTACCCCATTTTTCTCATACGTGATTACACCGACTCCCTGACGCCCTCCCTTATCCCTTCTAAACATCTGGTAGCTAGGCAAGGCCAAATCACGGTTGTGTACGCGTTGGCTCAACCAAGTTTCTGTTAAAGAGATAAAGTCAGGGTATAGATCACAGAGGTGTATCTTCAACTCGCCGAACTTTGATAGCAAACTCTGCACGTTGGTGTACAAGAATTTCAAATTTCGGCTGTTGGTTAGCGCCTTCACCTACTCTGTCGGCTGCGCGGTCATTCAGACCGGACCTATCCAAAGGAAGATTGACGGACGCCGCCGTACTTGGTTGTTGTATATAAGTAAATTGTCCTTCCCCGGTGAGCCTCTTTCTTAGTTCTAGAACTAGTTGTCAACGTTTCGGCCGCTTGCTGGCGAGTAGTCCGGTTGAAAAAACACCTGGCTTAAAGCCTTTAATCCAGAATCGCCTTGAGTAAATGACACGGGTTTGGGCGCTGCTGGCCAGCACAACTTTAGGAGGCCGGAGTCCAATCGACACTGATGGATTATCTGCTCGTTTTCCAGGGCGAAAGGCTTTAATCACTTCAATAGCCCTAGTGGGTTCTAAAGTATTATTGAGAGGACCTTGGAAAAATGATAGGTCTTCCGAAACCCGCTCCTTGGGAGCATCTGCACTTGATTCAGGGAGCCCCTGCATAATGGGACATATTCTCCGTTGCTTTCTTTTTTATTTTCTACGGGTGTATGGTTCCCTAAATGGCGTAAGGCTCTGGGACTATGCGCTGGTGATGGTGGAGCAGATGTGCTTACGCCGTCTGTTTGTTTGACGCTTATGTTGACAATGTTGGAAGAAGCGCTTGGCAGAGAAGAGTGTGAATAGAACTCCGTGGTTCTGATGGATGAATCGATTCGACCGATCGAACTGGGTCTATAAAGCTCGGCCTGTTTCGCGGAATCTGCAAAGGTGTTTGGACACACAAAATTTGCCATCAGGGACAGTACGTCCATCAATGTCTCTTTTGCGGCCTCTACGGAGGCATCTTCCGGAAATAGCCTTCCGTTTTCCTTGGCAATTTTACGATTTGATTTCCTTTTTTCTTCAGTTTTCGAGTTTCCTTTCTGACCGTTATTTTCTCGCTTTTTAGCTTTTCATTGTGGGGCTGCCGTAAAAGGTGCTGGCGTGCCTATTATGCTGGGAGCTTTTGCCTCACTGCTGGTTACACGTCCAGTAGGCATATTGGTGGCGTTAGTTTGGTCAAGACTGCATCGCAACTGTGTTTTCATCTTTGTGATTTCCTCCTCAAGATAGTTGACCTTGACGGCGAGAATCTGGCATCTACTGCAACCTTGGCCTGCGTTTTCTACGTTTATACAGTCAAGGGGATTGTGTGATATCGCTCGCCGCCGAGCTGCGGTGGCCGGTGGTTTAGCGTAGTTGAATGATTAAGGGGTGATCGCTGGATCGACTTCACACTCCGGCACTATATTTTGGACTTCACTGCGTACTCCAGTCATGCCATGAAGTAATGGAAAACGAACAAGCCTCAGAAATAGTAAACAACTTCGCCTGCGGCCAAATAGGGAAACAGTGCGTATTATTGTGTTTGTCGGAGAATTTAAAGAATGCAAGGCCTCGAGGACGTTTTAGCTAAGATATTTAGGTAAAATGCCAAGTGTACAAATATAAGCAGCTCGACAAGCAGTGTAGTAATTATCGGCTCAGCCTATAATCGGTCCCGTTACAAAGGTACGGTGGACAGTTCAAGACGATATGTAGGATTTCTCGGCTGCGTTGGCTAGGCTCAGATAATCAGCAGAATCGCCGGGTTTTCATAAAATTGTCCTAGTTGTACGATTAGGTTAACGATGAGAGCAAGGTTGAGGGTCGTAGGCAA